TGGTTGGAATTTTGTGTCTAGTGCTCCAGTTGAAGGAATCTCCAAAGAAACCTCGCCAGAGGTGTTCCAAGACCTGATTCCTGTGTGTACCATCCAGCGTGGGGACTGACTGATCACCCACATCAGCCTACTCACATACTGGTAGTTGCAGTCATCTGATCAGTTCTGTCTCCAGTCCCATCTCTTATGCAAGCTGACAGATGCTGTGATCCAGTCTAACCCTGCCCACCACACACCCAGCCATCATGTACACCAGCAGGAACTGCAGCCTAGCTGGAGAGGCCCCCAATAACCTCCACCAGGTACATCCCTAGCTCCAGTTCCTGCACATGCTAGTATGTGCAGCAGGCTAGTCTGATCTGTCCCGCATCCCATTTGACTCTCTTACACACCCATGGGTGCTGCAGCCTAGCTCAGCCTGAACAACCCCACTATCCAGCCCTTACTTAATGCCGGTTGGTACTGCTAGCCAGGCCTACCCCTAGCCCTGGTTCTCATGCTCACTGGTGGGAACTGCAGCCCATTAGAGGGTTGCCCAGTTTCCCTACTAGGCCCACTCCCAGCCCTGGACTTTGCACTTTCCAGGTGTTACTGTGGTCTAACTTAATAGGGCTTACCTCCAGTCCCAATACGTGTCAGCTGATGTTGTGGCAAAGTCCGACTAGCCTGTACTTTGTCGCATGCATGGACCAGTGGATACAGTTGCTTAGCCCAGCCTGGCTCTCCCCCTATCCCAGCTCACCTGCAGGCCAACAGGTGTTTTAGCCCTGCCCAGCCTAGTCCATCACAAGTCCCGTCTATCATGCTTACCATCTGGAGCAGTGGTCCAGTAGTTTCCCTATTGAGCTCTTCATCTCCTCAACCCTGCCAAGTGTTACATGTTCTGGTGGGTGCTGTGGCCCAGTCTGGCATGGCTCACCTCGCCTTGGCATTTACTGGTGGGTGCTATAGCCTGGCTTGACCTGGCCTGCTCCCCAGTTCCAGTCTGGTCAGTCCCCAATCACAGCCCTAATGTGATCTGGCTGGTGTTGCAGTCTAACCCAGACTGTCCCACACTCTGAATGTTTCTCACATCTGCCAGTGGGTACTATGAACTGGCTCAGTCTGGCCCACCCCAGACCTGAGCCACACATATATTGGCAGTACTGTAACCTGGCTTTTTCCTGGGCTGCTCCTAGCCTCAGTTCTTGCGCTTACCTGCAGGGACTGCATCCTGACAGAGGAGTTCCCAATCTCCTGTATCAGGTCACCTTCCAGTTGCAAATCTCGTGCATACTGATGGGTTCTTGGCCCAACCTAACTTGGCCCACCTCCTGTCCTGGCATGTACATGTACATTGGCCTTGCCCATTCTGGCTCTTATTGTTGGGTATTACAGCCCAATCCCACCTGGCCCACCTGCACATCCAGCTTTCATGTGGCTCAGTGTGTGCCAGGACCTAACCCTGCCTGTCCTATACCTACTGTGGCTCTTGTATCAGCAGGTGCTGGAGCCTAACCCAGTCTGGTACACCTAGACTCAGTCCACACCTATGTCAAACGATGCTTTAGCCATGCACAGCCCAGTTTACCATCCCCCTTCCAGTTCTCACGCTCATCAGCGGGAATTGCAGCCCAGTCAAGGCGACCTATTAGCTCCCTGACTAGGCTCACTCTTAGCCACAGATCTTGTATGAACCAGTGGATGCTCTGACCCAGTGCAGCATAATCTATTACTTGCCTTGATCTTTGCCACTGGATGCTGTAGCTTGGCCTGGCCCAGCCAGCCCCTAGTCTCAACCCTCACTGGTGCTTGCTGGAGTCTAGCCCTGCCCAGCCTACTCTCATCCCTGGCTTTCATGCAACCCAGTAGGTGTGAGAGTCTAGTCTTACCCAGCATAGCCCATAGCACAGCACCCCATTCTCGCCTGTGCATATGCCAGTGTACTATGGTTTGGCTCAGCCCTTTCCAGCCCACTTACCCAAACACAACCCACACCCTGATAAAATGTGGAGCAGCCTTGCCCAGCCTGACCAACACCAACCCTGATGCATGTACTCACCAGTGGGAAATACAACCCACCACAGGTGTTTCCCAGATTCCCCCACCAGGCCCATTCTCAGACCCAGATCTCATTCATGCCAGTGGATGTTAAGGCCCTTATCCGGCACAGTCCATCCTGCCACCCAGTCTCAGTCTTTGTGTGTGCTGGTGAAATCTGTAGCCTGGCTCACCCTACATTCAATTATTGGGTATGCCTGTGGGTGCTACAGTCTGGACCAGCCTGGCCTGTTTCCAACTTCAGTACCCATGAGAATTGTTTTCTATGGTCATGCCTAGCTCAGCCTGTCACCACCCCAGCTCCTGAGCAAACCAGCAGATGTAACAGTTCTCAGGGGGTGAGTCCACATGTCCCTCACAGAATCTGCTCCCAGGTCTAGTTCTCTCTCATGCTAGTTAGTGTCATGGCCCAGCCTAATGTTACCCATCCCCTGTTCTGACACTCACTAGCAGGTACTGTGATCAAGCCCTGCAAGGTAGGACTGCAGCCCAAGCTTTCTTTTCTTTTTTTTTTTCCCATACATATATTTATTTATTTACTTATATTGGAAAGCCATGTTTACAGAGAGGAGAGACAGAGAAAGATATTCTATCTACTGGCTCACTCACCAAATGGCCACAATGGCCGGAGCTGAGCTGATCCAAAGCCAAAACAGCCAGGAGCTTCTTCTGGAGCTCCCAAGTTGGTGCAGTGTCCCAAGGCTTTGGGTTGTCCTCTGCTGCTTTCCCAGGCTACAGGCAGGAAGCTGAATGTGAAGTAGAGTAGCTGGGATATGAACTGATGCCCATATGGGATCCTGGTGGATGTAAGGCAAGGACTTTAGCTACTAGACTCCTGTGCAAGTCCTCCAGTCTAAGCTTTCATGTCCACTGGTAGGTGGTGATAAGTGGTGGTCGATGCTGATTAGCTCAACTCAGGTCTTCTACAAGCGCAGGTACTTTGTTCTGACCCAGAAAGTTCTCTAGTTTTCCTCCTCAAAACCCCTTTGGTTTTAGCCCCCATACTTATTGCAATTACAGTGGCCTTGTATGTGGAAATCCCCCAGAAGTCATTCCTTACCTGAAATGTACTTCTTCAGTGGTCTCCCCTCCCTCATAATCTATATCCCCTTTTCCTGAACAATTCCCTGGGCCTCAGAATGCATTGTTTCCACAGCCTGGACTTCTGGCTGGGTGGCATGCTGGCCTGGAGCCCTGCCCACCCATTCTGGACCCACGTGCATGCCCAGTTTCCTAGAACCAATCCTCTGGCTCAAAGGCCAGCCTAGGACCCTAGCCCTCAGTCTACCTGAGATCCAAGCATGTTCCCAGTTCCTCAAGCCCAGTTCAGCAGCCAGCATACAATCATGCTTACCTGGGGCCCTCCCCTTCCCATCTCTCCAGGATCAAGCACACGCAGAGATCCCCAGGCTAGCTCTGCCTGCCTGGGCACAAGCCCTCAGTTCCCTGCAAGCCCTCACTCCCAGGCCCCCATGAGCCTGCTTGTGCCAGCATTAACCAGGCACTTGCGCTGACCTGACTGCAATTTATGAGGCCAAATATTTGTGCTTGCAAAAGACAGGCCAGGTAGAGAGGGCACCCAGTCTCTACAAATTGGGTTCTTATTTTTATGTTGGCTCTTGGGCTCTCAGAGATGACGTCTGAAAGATAGTATACCTTGGGGATAGGTAGCCGTGTAAACTATTAGTTTGTAAATGTCCTGATTGCCTCCAAGGTGTGGTTTTGCTTCTGAGATCTCCTGGGGCAGCTTAGTCAATGCTTATTCTTGGCTAGCATGCGAGAAAGCAAGAGGACACAATCCATATACCTACAAATACTAGAGCTGATATTCATGCCTCCCATGCCATAGTCAGTTACCTTCAACACTTCAGCTTTTGCCACCACCAACGCTTTCTCCTATGCAAACAAACCTTTGATCTGGGTACAAACCAGCCCTAGTGAACTGAAGGCCAAGACTAGGGACGGAAGGCAGGAAGAGCAGAGTCCTGGCTGACAGGGACACACAAGCCTCCAGAATTCTTGAGAAAGACAAGGGAGCCATGAAGGAGTGAGGTGTACCTCCCCCGCTTGGTTCAAAGGTAGAGTCATCCGCAGTTTCCTCCGGGTTCCTTTGCTGGTCACCAGACGGACCTCCACTGCTTTATTTCTTATTCTAGCACTCATCAACATTTCATTCCATGAAACAGAACAAACAGGAACAAACTTGGTTTTTTAGAAGACTTGAAAACAGCAGAAACAAAAAGGGGATTGGTCATTTCACAGTTAAGTTTCACAAGGCAAGGACAAGGGACCACAATAATAGGGAAAAAAACAAACAGCAAGTTACTTCAACTAACATTTATAGTCCAACTGGTATGTAGAAAGTTAGAAATCAGTCCATGTGCATGTGAGAGCCTGAGGAACAAAGCTCCTGCCAATAGAAATGGAACAGCCTGGGGCAGGCTGGCGAGCACACCTTGACAGCAGCAAGAAAGTCCTTTATAGGAGATCCCAGCCTGCTGTTCCCTCCCAGCAAGGAAAGCTCCTCCAGAATTGGTTCTGCCGGCGGCCAGAAGGGCTACTTGGATAATGCTGGGTAATAAGAACTTCATATTACAGAGGCCTGTGCCAAGGCATAGCAAGCCAATTCTTTGCCTATGGTCCTGGCATCCCATATGGGGACAGGTTTGTGTCCTGGCTGCTCCAATTCCCATCCAATTCCCTGCTTTTGGCCTGGGAAAGCAGTGAACGGCTCAAGTCCTTGGGCTCCTGTACCCATGTGGGAGCTCCTGGCTCTTGGTTCAGTTCGTCATTGCAACCCATTGGGGAGTGAACCAACAGATGGAAGATCTTACTTTGTCTATCCTTTTCTCTGTAACTTTACCTTTCAATAAAAATAAATCTTATCCAGGAAGTTGTTGCTGAGCAGCCGCTCATGTCAGCTGCACCAGGCTCGAGGGGGGCTGCTGACATTCCTGTGACTGGCCAGAGACTTGCTACACCCCTCCTTTGAGGAGGAAAAGAAGCATAAAAAGAAACAGCTGGTCCAGAGTCCAAACTCTTATTATTATTTTTTTATTGCAAAGTCAGATATACAGAGAGGAGAGATAGAAAGATCTTCCATCCTATAATTCATTCCCCAATAATAGCCAGTACTGCGCCAATCCAAAGCAAGCAGCCAGGAGCTCTTCTGGGTCTCCCACATGGGTGAAGAGTCCCAAAGCATTGGGCCGTCCTCAACTGCTTTTTCAGGACACAAGCAGGGAGCTGGATGGGAAGCAGGGCCACGGGGATTAGAACTGGAGACCATATGGGATCCTGGCGCATTCAAGGCGAGGACTTTAGCTACTAGGCTACCGTGCCGGGCCCCAAACTCTTACTTTATGGATGTAAAATCTCTAGGTTGGTATAAGATCACCACAGTGTTCAGCCATGCCCCCCAGATGATGGGTCTCTGTGTGGGTTGCTCCACTATGCTGTGTCAGCCCACGGGAAGGAAGGCCCAGCTCACAGAAGGCTGTTCCTTTAGAATAAAGCAACAATAATGACCCATGCTAATTTCTGGATTTGTGTTTTCTCACAGAAAGCCTTATTATAAGTTCAGATATTCTGGTGAATCTATTAAGATAATGTAATTGTGTCTGATTTTATAAGGTATACAAGTTATCCCCTATTTTGATGTCAGTTTTTCAATAAAGTTCTAATCTCTGTGACACACTTTCCAACCAGCTCCCTGCTTTGTGGCCTAGAAAAGCAGTCGAGGATGGCCCAATGCCTTGGGACCCTGCACCAATGTGGGAGATCCAGAAGAGGCTCTGGGCTCCTGGCTTCGGATCAGTGCAGCGCTGGCTGATGTGGTCACTTGAGGAGTGAATCATTGGATAGGAAATCTTTTTATCTGTCTCTCCTTCTCTATATATCTGACTTTGTTTTTTTTGTTTTTGTTTTTTTTTTTAAAGATTTTATTTTTATTATTTTTTCATTGGAAAGGCGGATATACAGAGAGGAGAGACAGAGAGGAAGATCTTCCGTCTGATGATTCACTCCCCAAGTGAGCGCAACGGGCCGATACTATGCCGATCCGAAGCCAGGAGCCTCTTCCGGGTCTCCCATGCGGGTGCAGGTTCCCAAAGCTTTGGGCCGTCCTCGACTGCTTTCCCGGGCCACAGGCAGGGAGCTGGATGGGAAGCGGGGCTGCTGGGATTAGAACCGGCGCCCATATGGGATCCCGGGCGTGCAAGGCGAGGACCTTAACCACTGCGCCACGGTGCCGGGCCCTATATATCTGACTTTGTAATAAAATCAAATCTTTATTAAAAAAGAAAAAATATGCATTTTCTTTAGATTTATGTGTATTGGTTTGCTTAAGTTAATACAGCATACATATGTACGGTTTTGGACCTATCCATGCAGTAAGATAGGTCAGGCATTTCCTTTGATGTGTCCAGACTCTAAGGGGACACCACCCCTTCTCAGTCTGTTTTCCAACAATCTTCAGAACTCCTGACATAACCAGGTCCCTTCCATTCCCACTATTTTTTTTGACACTTGTCTGTCTGCAGTCAGCTCCACCCTCCGAGACCGTTGTCAAAAGGGTTAGTTGTTTTTACTCAGCACGATTGTCCTGAGGATTATAGGCAAATGCTTAGCAGTGACATAAACACCAGTGACATGGCCTATTTCAAGTGCTTGGTTAGAACTCAATCCCCACTCCTCTGGAACACCCTTACAAACCCAACCACGGCTCTTGCTCAATTCATCTACACTCTGCTGGAGCCCCTCAGCATCCCAGGTAGCCTCTAACGGTTACTCTGCCTGCAAGCCCTGATCCAACTCCTTCATAAAGCCTCTTCCAACACACAAGCCCAGTTTACTACTAGAGGACCCAATTATACCACACAAGTAGCCATTACTAAAGTGCTGCCTTTAGTAATTCAACCTGTTTACCTACTGCCCTTTCCATTTCCAAAACAGTAGGTTATCTGTCAGGCTCTGATTTTCAGGCTCTTCAACTTATAAGACAATTTCCTGCTAGGGTGGAGTATTACTTGGCTTCACTGGTTAGCTCTGGGCCCCAATGCTGAAAGGCAGAGCGAGCACCTTTGACTGAGACATTGAGAGGGTTTAGGAAGAATGCACAATGAGCAACCTAAAAAGTAAAACTCAACTGTGCCTTTGATAAGCCAGAGGGAGACCTACAGACTAGAGCTATTTTTGGAATCAGGCCCAGAACTGCCTGTGTACAGCAAACAGTAGGTGTACACCAAGCTTATAATCACAGGGAAAGGGCCTGGCGCAGCAGCCTAGTTGCTGAAGTCCTCATCTTGCATGCACTGGTATCCCATATGGGCGCCAGTTCTAATCTCATTGGCTATGCTTCCCATCTAGCCCCCTGCTTGTAGCTTGGGGAAAGCAGTTGAGGATGGCCCAAAGCTTTGGGACCCTGCACCTGGCTGGGAAACCCAGAAGAAGTTCCAGGCTCCTGACTTTGGATCGGTTCAGCTCCAGCCATTGCGGCTGCTGTATATCTGACTTTCCAATAAAAATAAATAAATGTTTTAAAAAGTCACAGGGATACAGAAAAAAAATGTGGAAACAATGGTCTTACCCACTTTCCTGTAGCCCCTGATCCTTTGTACCCTAATCAACCATGTAAAGATTATCAAAATAAAATAATTACAGGAAAAAAAAGTCACAAAGGCAGTAAGACTTCACAAACCTGTAGAGTGTGATACCTACTGCTACAAACCAGAACGCCCTCAGGAGAACAGCCAAATGCCTCAGGGAGATGGGGGATGAGCCACAGATTCCTTGGTGAGTAAAAGACAAATACCCTGTGTACATCAGAACATCCTAAGCCTGTAAGCCATGTTAGTTTAATAACGTCCAGTTGGAAATATTTAGGTAAGAAGCTATTTTCAACGCTCAATGTTATAGTCAGAACACCTCTAGAAATACTTATTTCAGGTCCGGCGGCCTGGCCTGGCGGCTGAAGTCCTCACCTTGAACGCCCCTGGGATCCCAAATGCGCGCCAGTTCTGTCCCGGCAGCTCCACTTCCCATCCAGCTCCCTGCTTGTGGCCTGGGAAAGCAGTCGAGGGCGGCCCAGAGCTTTGGGATCCTGCACCAGCGTGGGAGACAGGGAAAAGGTTCTGGGCTCCTGATTGGCTAAGCTCCAGCCGTTGGGGCCACTTGGGGAGTGAACCATCATTGGAAGGAAGATCTTCCTCTGTGTCTCTCCTCCTCTCTGTATATCTGACTTTGTAATAAGAATAAATAATAAATCTTTAAAAAAAAAAAAGAAATATTTATTTCAAAAGTAGAACTTAAGAAAAAAATAGACAAATGCAATTTAGATTAAAAGCTCCAAGGTGTATTGTTTCAGGTAGGTGTTATTACTATCTGTTTCCTTTCACCCCATTTATCAAGCCAAAAAGTTTCAAGGAACTTCAAGTTCCTAAGTTTACAAGGAGGTACAGAAGCCCAAATGCACAGGACAGAATGAGTTCCGAGGTAGAAGGCGACAGCATGGCTCCTGAAGGGTGACTTCCTTAACACTCCTGTGCTTCACCACAATTCACCTCTCCTTCCTGCAAATCTACTGGTGACTTTTTTTTTTAGCTCTTCTGCTGTGGTTGGTTTTGTCTCTGGATTGTAATGGTGTGTTGCTTTGTAGTTTAGGATGTGAGTCCAAGGTTCCAGGTCCCCCTCTGTAGGCCTCATGAGGCTTAGACAGTTGTCCAGCATGAAAGTTGGGAAGACTTGCTTTGAGGAGGGGCTATTAGTTCAGCATCACTGCCTTTAGCTCTGCTGCAGAAACCGCTTGCTGTCTGGGGATGGCAAGTCCTAGAAGATCATGTCCAGCAAGATGTCCAAGGTGGCTTTCCCTCAGTTTATCCCCAAGAAGAAACACCCGATCACTCACTTTTTATTACATTTCTAGTAGCTTCTCCATTTCCTCAAGAGTTGTTGTAAAATCAGTTACTTGACCATTATATAAGGTTTGCTGTTCCATAAATCGAGCCCGTTCTTCTTCTTTGATCTTCAACTTTACCTTTAAGGCCTGCATAGAAAGGCATTCCAAAGAGGAAAAAACCACACAGAAATCTCTTGACTCGGGAAAGAAAATATCCACACAGGAGCATCATGCTTCTGTCCCACCAAAGAAGTCCACAGGCATCCCAAGAGACACCACATCTCCTCAGGTTCTGTGTATCTGTGCTGGTTGTAGGCGCTATTTATCTACAGACTGCCTACCTAACCGCAGCAATGAAATCCTGTCTGCTCAATGCAATATTCCATAATCCATCCAAGCAACCTGACGGAATTCAAACCCAAGTCTCCTCCTGGGGAGGATATCAGAATCTTAACTCCCGGCCCAGCACAATAGTGCAGACGTTAAGGTCCTCGCCTTGCACGCGCCTGGGATCCTATATGGGCACCGTTCTAATCCCAGAAGCCCTGCTTCCCATCCAGCTCCCTGCTTGTGTCCTGGGAAAGCAGTCGAGGACAGCCCAGAGCTTTGGGATCCTGCACCAGCGTGGGAGACAGGGAAGAGGTTCTGGGCTCTTGATTGGCTAAGCTCCAGACGTTGGGGCCGCTTGGGTGTGAACCATCGGACGGAAGATCTTCCTCTCTGTCTCTTCTCTCTGTCTATCGGATGCCTTCCCAATAAAAATAAATAAATCTTTTTTTTTAAAAAAAAAGAATCTTAACTCCCAACTTGGAACAATCTACTGTTTTATCTCATGCCTTGGAGATGGGAACATTTCAGATTCTTCAGGAACAGAAAATAAGTGGAAAAACTATTGAAATCCAAGTGAAGCATTGGCACTTAATAATAATACACTAATACTGGTTTCTTAGTTTGGACAAATGCCCCAGGACAATGCAAGAATATACTGTTAATGGGACCTGAATTTTCTGAATTACCTTTTCAAATTTTTCTGATTCCAAAACTCATTTGAAATAGTTCATTAAAAATAAACAGAGAAAAAGAGGAAAAAAACACTTCAGCCTGAACCCACCAATGGGGTTGGAAATAGTAACTGTGCTTCTGGGAGATGTCTGCCTCTCACCTGTAATTCCTCCATCTGCTTTTTGGCTGTTTCATTAAAAAGCTTCAGCTCATCTTGCAAAGTTTCTAACAGCAACTAAGAGGAAAACACAAGGCAGTAAGCAATCTCAGTGTAAATCAGAGACGGGGCGGATGACAGGTTATAGGTCCTTCCATCCACTCAGCCATACAGTCTCTACTGTACTGTCAAGCTCTCTGGTGAGCTCCCCACAGGAAGAAAGTGGGTTCACAGAGTGGCCACGTGACCCCACAACACATAAACTCTGTGCTGCAGACTTCATGAATAAAATGTAGCAGTCACAAAAGAGGTTGCTGGTCCTCTGCTGAACAAGGCTTCCATGTTTAGTATTCTATCTCTGATCTCTAAGATGATACTTGATCACCCTAAGAGATCATTTTCCTTTTCTTCTTAGAAAAAGCTGAGAACTGAACTTTAACAGATTCCACCTTGGCATCATAGTTTTCAGCAAAGGAGTAAGAGAAGAAATGTGTGGCAGAGTCTAGAATGGATGAACCACAGAGCTCTCCAACCAGGTCCGTCTGTTGTTTCATAGTAGTGTATTTTCAATCTAGACTCATCGGTCATTCTCTTCTACTCATGTGGATAATCAACGACCACTTCTTTGGGTTTTGTGAGCACATGATGGAGACTTTGCAACTCACAGAGCCCAGGGACCCCTTGGCCTTGCCCATTCACACCCTAACCCTCACCATAGAGTCTGTGGGATCCGGAGTGGAGGCCTGCCGTGATGCCAGGGTCTCATTGCCTAAAACCAACAGATACAGCAAAGTCAGCCTCACTTGGCAAAGTGTACCTTAACCAAAGACAGCAAAAGCCCCTCAATGGCCAGAGGGGCTTTCTTCCTGAGAGAAATGAAGTGTCTAGCCCCAGCCTTTCCTGAGGCAGGGAAACCCACCGTCACCCCCTGGAGCTGCACTCCCTCCTGTGTCTCCTGAGCTCTGAGTATGCTGAGAATTCATTCTACTTTCCTGCCTCTGTGAAAAACTTGTCCAAAGAAAAGATACAGGCTGTACGTTTTTTTAGTTTGTTCATAGCACACAAATCACCTTGAAAAATATTGGTTATTTGAGGCGAGAGAGAGATAGTCAGACATACAGAGCTCCCATCTACTGGTTTGCTCTAGAAATGTCCACAATGGTTGGAGCTGCGCTGGGCGGCAGCTGGGAATGCAATCCAGGTCTCCTCTGGGTGACTCCTACCAACCAGTTAAGTGAACCAGGCATTCTAATATGGGACAGAGGTATTTTAACTGCTGGGATAACCAAGGACCCCCTACAAAACTTTTAAAAATGTTTAAGGCCTTAAAAAGTATTGTTTTTTGACTCCCAATGAAACTATTACATATATCTTGACACTAGAATACCAGACTCTACACCACTCTTTATAGCTACAATGTCAGGATGTACTTAAATAAAAGAATGATGGACTTGTGACTTTTGTTGAGCGACTAAACTATTCTTACAATATAGGGGAAAGAGTGGCAGGGACAGTGAGGGAGAGAAAGGGGAAATCCCTGAGCCTAAGGAAATATATCATAAAAAATGATTTTAAAAATTAATAAAACAAAATGTATTGTTTTTGTGTTAGTGGTAAATTGAATATAAAATGTTTATATATATAAAAAATATATAGTTATATATATATGTATGTATATATTTATATATATATAACTTCCAACCAAAATACTACCCACAGTCAGCATTTTTTCTTATAATTAATAAAACACATATTTGAGAAGCAGAGAGAGTGTAAGACTGACTAAGCTCCCCATCCACTGGTCTACTCACTCCATGTCTCCCGCGTGGGCAGGAGAACCCAGCTACTTGACCCTCCCTGCTGCCTCCCAAGCTCTGCATTAACAGGAAGCTGAAGGCAGGAGCCAGGGCTGAGCCAGAGCCACTCTTGGGGAACTCCTTTTTCTGCTCTCTTCTTTGCTAAGCTCTGCTCTCCAGAGGTAAGAGTCCCATGTCAATATTGTTCTGCTAACGTCAGCTCAAGAAAGGCAGCTAGCTACCTTTACCTGGATTAAGGCCCTTGCCTTAATTACCTCTTACCTGGATTAAGGCCCTTGCTCTCCAAAATTGCCAAGCAGTTGTCCTGAAACTTCTCCAGAAGTTCTACCTTCTGGGTCAGGTCCTTCAGTTCTCCCTGTGGTGGTGGTGCACACTGAGTCAGGAGCTGCGCATGCTCTGCAGAGGGCCTCTCTTTCCCCACCCCTTGCTCTCGGTGAGTCAGCACAAGCCTGGCTGCTGCTGCTCAGCCCGAGGGTCAGCCCTCAGGAGCGCATGCGCATCACCCAGTGATCAGCTGGGCTTCTTACCTGAGTTTCTGTTAACTTCTGGTGTAACTGCTTGTTGGCGGCCTCTAAGAGCTGGTTCTTATCCTTGAGCTCTTCCTCTGATTTCTGCTTACCCCATGGTTTGTAACTGTAATGGTTGCATTTACGTGAAGAGATAGAGCGACTATGTGTGGACTACCAAGTGACACAAACAAGATTCCTTATATGTGGTAGATGATCTAGGGTGAGTTGTTGTCCAATCTCCCCGAGGTTCTTTGTCAATAGTCACACTTTGTATTATTATTATAATAAGAGATAATAAGTAAACAATTCATAGCCCAGCTACTGGCCTATGATAAATATCCAATAAGTAGCCACTATCATCATCAATATTCAAATCTTCCTTTTAAAATTCTCAGTCTCCCCTTCCCTCACCACATTTATCAATTATTTACCTATCAAGATAAACTATTCCGGGCCCGGCGCGGTGGCGCAAGTGGTTAAGGTCCTTGCCTTGCACGCCCGGGATCCCATATGGGCGCCGGTTCTAATCCCAGCAGCCCCGCTTCCCATCCAGCTCCCTGCCTGTGGCCCGGGAAAGCAGTTGAGGACGGCCCAGAGCTTTGGGAACCTGCACCCGCATGGGAGACCCGGAAGAGGCTCCTGGCTTTGGACGGGCATAGCATTGGCCATTGCGCTCACTTGGGGAGTGAATCATCAGACGGAAAATCTTCCTCTCTGTCTCTCCTCTCTGTATATCCGCCTTTCCAATAAAAAAATAATAAAAATAAATCTTATAAAAAAAAAACAAAAAACAAAGATAAACTATCCCTTAGCCCATGTATTTCACATTTCATAGTCCAGGAACACAAGTCAGTGACAAATACTTATAGAACTCAATCCAAAGAAAATCATTACATTTGGAATTAGAATATATCTTTATGAACTTTCTATTTATTATTTCTAAATTCAAGACTGTGACATTTCCAAACAAGCTTGAAACAGGGAGACATAAGTCTTCTCACAGAATTCCAATATCATTTCCAACCCACCCCTCAGTACTCACACAAAGTAGCCATTCTCAGCCCCTCCTATCTTCAAGGTTTCCTAATCTCTGATCAACAATGGTCTCAGCAAGAAGCCCTGGTAGCACAGTGATTTTATACCCTAAAAAGGTTACAACTGGCAGGCCTTACCCCTGAAAATTCCACTCAGGCTTCGGAGCATAAGGTATGAATAAATCCCCTGAATAATCCCTAAGCAGCATTTAGATCCACTACCTCAAAATGGCGGCCAAGTTCATTTTCTCAGATGCTCACCTCTTCCTGAGATTCCTCCTGAAGGCAGTGTCTGCAGCTTTCACCTGCCTAGACAAGCAAATACAGAAAAACTAACTAGAGAACTGTGGGACCCTCTGTGCCCTGTGGTATGTAAGGCACGGCCAATAGTCCAGGGTTGAACTGGGTATGACACACAGGCAAACAGCATAGGCTCAGAAGCTGAGGGCCAGGCTCACTGTTGGGGAGAGGGCTCTCCTCCCCAGCAGCCCAATGACATCATATCAGCCTCGCTCACCTGAACCCCAAAAGCTGGGCAGGAAGCAAACTGGGGGAGTTGGCCCCAACCAACAATATTGGTGAACCACTGAATCCCACTCGCTATGACCACAACTCAGGGCTCCTGTGTGGCCACAGTACTGCCACGTGCATGCTAAAAGCAAGGGGAGGGGCCCAGCATGGTACCCTAGTAGCTAAAGTCCTTGCCTTGCATGCGCTGATATCTCATATGAGTGCCGGTTCTAATCCCAGTGGTCCCGCTTCCCAGTTTCCCATCCAGCTCCCTGGTTTGTGGCCTGGGAAAGCAACGGAGGACGGCCAAAGCCTTGAGATTCTGCACACGCATGGAAGACCCAGAGGAAGCTCCTGGCTCCCTGGTTTGGATAGGCTCAGCTCCAGCCATTGTGGCTGCTTGGGGAGTGAATCAGCAGACGGAATATCTTCCTTTCTGTCTTTCCTCCTCTGTATATCTGACTTTGAGAAAAAAATAAAAACTAGCGGAGGTGTTGGTTTCCTTCATTGCAGTGCTCTGACAGCCAGCTCAGTAGCTGGTGCCAAACATTTAGGAGCCCTGGGTGCCTGAAACCCTGTTTTCTAAATTCTCAGAACTGAGTAACTTCTGGTGGGAAGTTCTAAGCGGATGCTGACATGTGACTCTCACCCATTCTCTCGTCTCAGTTTGGTGGTCTTGGTGATGTCATTCTCTGAACCTCCCGAGTGATATCTGGCAACCTCAACATCTTTGCATTTAACAGGTAAGAGACTCTTTGAAGTGGTTCGAGCTTGTGTGTCTGCAAGAAAAACAAGGAGGTGAAACCTGAGGCATTGTGAGCAGACAGGTGCAGCCCTGAAACAAACACAGCTCCATCACAGGTTGCCACATACCTTTTTTCCACACTAGCCACTCCCAGCTTGCTAAGGTTAATTCAAAACAATAAGACCTCTACACCAAATGATGAGAAAGATGAAAGTTCCTGAACAACATGGCTCAGTGTGTTTGATATGCTGCATGAGAACAGAAGCCTGGGTACAGAGTCTGACATAAGCCAAGAGCTTCATGGACATGACTAAGGAAGCTGGCAGGCAAACACTGCTCACTGGTCATCCAACACCAACAGAGCTGTACATTCCATATTGTTAAGCTCCTGGAACTCTTTGCATGCCTCCCTAAGGCAATGTTAAAGCTGCTCTCAGTTCTGCTGTCCATGGTTGCCCATGCCTCTTCACCACAAAGTCTTCCCAATCCCTCTGAGATGTCCGTGTGCCCTACTCCTGCAATGTTTCAGACCTTCATCTCTAACCTCCACTTCTCCTGCCCTCTTCCATGCTACTCACCGCCACCATCAGTCCCTGTGGTTTATTTATCTTTTATTAAGTCTGGATGTTCTCTATTTGGCAAGCTTGCTGGCCCACAGCGAGATGATCAGAGATACGGCAGTGCGAAGCACCGCACTTCCTTCTTGCCTTTATGCTGTGTGACCACCAGTCACAGCAGCAGAAAATCCAAGCAGCTGATTCTGGAGCTAGGCATTCTCCCTGTCCTGCCCCCCAGTACACACACCTAGAATTTTTCTGATTATACAAACTGCTTTTTTAACACTATAAAATGACCCCTTTCAGCACAACTTAAGAACCCTAATAAATCAAGTTGAAAAAAGCAGGTACAAGGGCTGCACTGTGGTGTAGCGGGTTAAGCCACAAACACCATGAGGGAGCCCTGGATGGAGTTCTAGGCCCCTGGCTGAGGCCTGACCGAGGCCTGACCGTTTTGGCCATTTGGGGAGTGGGCCAGTAGATGAAGCTATCTCCTGCTCTCAAACCCTGCCTTTCAAATAAATAAATCTTAAAAAGGAAAAAAATACCTACAAAGTACTGGAATTGGAAAGTGAGATCACAAAATATCCTAACTGGGTCCTGGCATAATAGCATAGTGGCTAATCCTTGCCTTCCACACGCCAGGATCCCATATGAATGTCTGTATCCAGGCTGCTTCACTTCCCATCCCACTCCCTGCTTGTGGCCAGGCAAGGCAGCAGAGGACAGCCCAAGGCCTTGGGACCCTGCACCCATCTGCAACACTCAGAAGAAGCTCCGATTAAGCTAATGCGCTGGGTCCTGGGCCAAAAATTTTTTTTTTATAGCTACACTTACTGGGTATTTGATCTTTCTGTTTTTATTACTCTTATCCACAAAGCAATTACTAAGTATTCTTTTTGCGGTATCTGTATGAAGTAAAAGGAAATCCTGGGGAATATATTCATCTTCTATCATAAATATCAGGAGGAAAGTCAGAGAGACAGAGGGAGACAGATGTCATCCATGTGCTGTATTACTGCCCAAATGGCCACAAAGGAAAGAACTGGGCTGGTCTGAGGCTGGGAACCAGGGGCTTCATCCAACTCTCCCACCTGAGTACAGGCGTCTGAGGACTTGGGCCATCCTCTGCTGCTTCCCAAGGTGCATCAGCAGGGAGCTGTATAGCAAGCGAAGCAGCCAGGACTTCAATCAGCACCCACATGGGATGTGGATGCCACATACGGCTGTTCTACTGGCTGACCCACGGGTCCTACCCCTAACGCTTTGTTTTTTAAATGTACATATCCCAACTCTTCAAAAGACTTACAAAACAACCAACTTATGCTCTCTCCAAGTCAAGACACAACACTTGGGGACTGCCTGAAACTGTTCAATAACTGCAGTTAGAGCTGGTACAGGGAGAGGACACAGAGACCAAAGTTTGCAAGCAGGCAGGGAGAGGTGGGTGCTGGTGAGGAGCCAGGGGCAAGGCAGGTGAACAGAGTGGCTGTGGGAGTTGGCTCCAGGGGCTGGGGCTGTGCCAGGTCCCTGCAGATGCCAAGATTGCCGTTCCTCAGGCATTCTTAGGCAACACAAGGCAAAGAGTGCAAATCTGGAAGCTTTCAGGGGGAACAGCCTGCCTACTTTGGGTATTAACTGCACACCTTCTCCACCCCCTCTACCAGCCAGCTGTAGAGAATTCTCTGGAAAGCAGCCACAGACAGACGCAAGACACTTTCCTCCTGTCTGGCGCTCCTTCTTCCCGTGCCACCGACCTCCCCACTCACAGGCTGCTGACCGGCCCGGGAGAAACTCCAGCCACGCGCGGGGTAACACAAAGCCAGCCGGGCAAAGCCACTAGCACTCCTTCGGTCTCCAACACTCGGGTTCGGCCGGCGGCGGCGACACCCACCTGAGGCCAGGCCGCCGCTCAACGCAGGTGGCTGCAGGCTGTACACTGTCTTCACTACGCTGGTCATCGTGAGGAGACCGCCCGGCTGCGCCCTGCAAAGGGGCGAGGCGAACGTTACCCAGCGCCGGGTCACGGCGGATCCAACGGGGACAGAGCCCGGGGTCGGGAATTCGCAGCCGTCCCCGCGCCACCCGCACATCCAGCCCGGCACCTCGTCCCGGGAGAGCCGAACCCAGGTGCCCGCCGCTGCCGCCCGCAGGCCTTGCTGCTCTGGTTCAAAAGATGCTCAGCAGCAACCGCCGCACCGCCGGCTGGGCCCGCCGCTTCGGTTTCAAAGGGCAACTTCCGGTTGCTGGGCAGGAAGAGGCGCGGCTCGCGTTCCGGAGGCGACCCTGTTGTACGGAAGGCCCTATTGGAGGCCGCCGCTCTGGGGGCTGCCATGCTGTACGGAAGGGCCAAGCCGAGGCCGGGAGCCGGGCGGTGGGAGTTGTACTTAGCGTACCTGAATGGAGCTAATGAGGCTTCGGCGTCACATGCCAGGCTAGGGACGCAAACGCGGCCACGGTTAGAGCTAATGTCACAATCTTCTTTATTTAGTCTGCTGTGGCTGGGGACACTGCCAGGAGCACAGGTTGTTTGAATGAAAACTGTATACTACAGGTTGGAGAGCAGCAGGTGAAGCTGAAGAAGATAGCAAACCAGTGGGCCGTTTGACTTAAGAAGCACTCGTCCGGATTTTAAGTAGAAATTCGGAAGAGAGGTCAATCATTTAATACATTTGTTCATGTTATTGTACAAAAAAAAACACGGTACACTATGTGCTTGACACCACTCTAAGTGGATGGATGGAGGTGAGGGAGAACCCACACCAAGCCTGACCTTGGCTCTGCCCTCCTGGAGTTTATGCTCTAGGAATTGTAAGGTAAATTTTTTTTTAAAAATCCCACAAATAAATATGCCTTCCCCAATTGTGGTAACTGAAGGAAAATTGTGAGATGCTGTGGGAGAGTAAAGCCTGGCTTAGACTGATGAGGGGGGCAGCTGCTTGCCACAGCAGCATTTTAAGATCCTGCCTGGGAATTCCGCATTCCATAGCTGGCTTCAGGTGCTCTTGTCATGACGCTGTAAGTGAAGAGGCATAGGAGTGGGGACAGTGGGGACAAAGGACAGTGGACATCCTGAGGGTAGCTTTTGGAAATGGGGAGCTCTTGTCAAGGAAGAGGCAGGGATGAGGGATAAAGATTTATTTATTTATTTTATTGGAAAGGCGGATATACAGAGAGGAGGAGAGACAGAGAGGAAGATCTTCCATCCAATGGTTCATTCCCCAAGCGGCTGCAACAGCTGGAGCTGAGCCAATCCGAAGCCAGGAGCCAGGAGCTTCTTCTGGGCCTCCCATGGAAGCCCAAAGCTGTCCTCGACTGCCATCCCAGGCCACAAACAGGGAGCTGGATGGGAAGCGGGGCCACCAGGATTAGAACAGGTGCCCATATGGGATCCCAGTGCATTTAAGGCGAGGACTTTAACCGCTACACTATTGCACTGGGCCCACCCTTCCGTTAACTTTCATAAAAATGAATGGCTAATCCTGTGACGAATCAGATTGTACAAATGGATAGAGAATGCTTTGTCTAAAAGAGGTCAGGAGCCAATTGTAACAACTGTGAGGAAATAGCCAGAATGGCAGTGCTTATACCTTAGACAAGGAAGACAGCTGCCTACTGCCAACAATCAGGCTTCATACCAAAGGAACTCCCTCCTAACAGCTCCAGGGTCGCTGTGAGAAAGGCCTGTGGTAATCTGCCCAATAGTCAACCAACTGACCCCTTGTCTTCCCTGTTCTCTTCCAAGTCCTGCTGAGTTGCATATTGGAAAGAGCAGATCTGACTAGCATCAGAAAATCCACACTGTCCCCAGGACAGGGCAGCCAACAACTGGACTGACTACTTCTAACGAATCTTTGTCTGTGACTCTGGTCTCTGCTAAATTGGCTGTCCAGATGTGAGCAAGTTAACTTTGATCAGTAACAAAATCATCAATAGAGGGCATGGTGTGGTAGCCTAGCAGCTAAAGTCCTCGCCTTGTATGCGCTGGTATCCCATATGGACACCAGTTCTAATCCCAGCAATCCCACTTCCCATCCAGCTCCTTGCTTGTGGCCTGGGAAAGCAGTCGAGGACAGCCCAAAGCCTTGGGACTCCACACCAGCGTGGTAGACCCAGAAGAGGTTCTGGGCTCCTGGCTTCAGATTGGCTCAGCTCCAGCCATTGTAGCCACTTGGGGAGTGAAATCGATGGACAGAAGATCTTCCTCTCTGTCTCTCCTCCTCTCTGTATACCTCACTTTCCAATAAAAATAAAATAAAACTTTAAAAACAATCATCATGAGAACAGTGTACAAGAGGCCTAGGACCAAGAACAGGGACACCTGAAGTTAGAATCTGAAGTGATAGAAAAAAGCTGCCTGCCAGAGAACTTGATAAAGAGGTGCCAGAGAGGTGAGAAAATGAAAAGGAAACTGGTCTCCCAGAAGTCAAGAAGGAGGGAGGGGTGAACTACTGGAAACAGCTGAAAGACAACTGAGAGCTCAGAAAGCTCCCGTTTGACTTAGCAATACAGAAACCATGGATCAGTGTAGCAAGAGAAGTTCCTGGCAGAGTTTGGAATGGAAGACATGCTGACACATTGAAACTGGAGAAGGCAGGAGTGCCGATGGCAGGAGCAGACATTAAAGTCAGTGTGGAAATGCGGTAGAGCAACAGGGGGCAGCAGCTGAGGGCCGGTGAGGTGGCAGGATCAAGGAAGGGTTTTCTGGAAGATGCAGATACTTAGAAAGATACATTTGCTGATGGGAAGGAGCTGGCTGCAAGGAGGGAAAGTGCTTTAGCAGGGAGCAAGAAAGAAGAAGGGAGGGCTCTGGAGTAGCCTTCAGATTCATTTGGTCACAGACCCTACACCCAAATAACTTTTTAAAATATTTACTTATTTATTATTTTTTAAAAGATTTATTATTTATTTTTATTGCAGTCAGATAAACAGAGAGGAGGAGAGAGAGGAAGATCTTCTGTCCATCCATTCACTCCCCAAGTGACCATAATGGCTGGTGCTGCGCCGATCTGAAGCCAGGAGCCAAGAACTTCCTCCAGATCTCCCACACGGGTGCAGGGTCCCAAGGCTTTGGGCCATCTTCAACTGCTTTCCCAGGCCACAGGCAGGGAGCTGGATGGGAAGTGGGGTTTCTGGAATTAGAACCGGCGCCCATATGGGATTCCAGCGCATTCAGAGCGAGGACTTTAGCCACTAGGGCATTGCGCCAGGCCCTACTTATCATTTTTATAAAGATTTATTTATTTATTATTGACAAGTCAGATATACAGAGAGGAGGGGATGAGGTTGTACCCTTAATATGCTTGATATGCTTGATACGCTCCCTGCTTCCCCGCCCTGCCAATGTATTAGAACAAGAATGGACTGAACTGGAAGGTGTTAAGGATGTTTGGTTTATGAATCTATGAAATGGCTATGTACTTATATAAAAGGTAATTACAAGAGACAGTTATCAGCTGGACATGGGGCTGGGCCAAGCTGAAGTCAGGAGCCTGGAACACTTTCAGGGTCTCTCGTATCAGCTGAAGAAGTCTGAACACCTGAGTCATGCTTTCCCAGGTGCCTTAGTAAGGAGTTGGATTGAAAATGGAGCAACCAGGACTTGAACTGGTAGAAACTTTTTAAGTTGGCTCCGACTCAAGATATTCTCTGCATATGACATATGCCAGGTGTCAGTAAAAGCTAAAATTATGCCAGTCAAATTAATCTCTATCCAACTGTGATTCTCCCAGGGGACCCCACGGTAACCAACTGTATCAAGTTCTATATTACAAACATCCAGCACACACATGCACTTTAAGTGTGATTCAAGGCTCTGTGGCATAAACAGCCCTGGCTGTGGCTGTCTAGGGAGTGAACCAGTGGATGGAAAATCTCTCTCTTAATCTCTCTGTGAATCTTTAAAATCAAGAACTAAGTCTTTTCAAAAGCCAAAGGAAGCTCAACAACAGCCACATAAAGCAAGCCCAGTCCACACACTGGCTACTTTTGGCTCATCTGCCTTCCTGCAGGGTTGTGTGGCCACAGCTTGCAGAAATCCCCAAGTGGCCCAGACCACCACGTGCCCAAATTGCTCATCTCCTCTGCCCCCTCAGCAAGTTCCAACCACTTCAGTTGGGTTCAGGAGAAGTGTTTAGAGCTCCAGATCCAGATACTGATGTCTCCCTTGGCAAGACCTAGAAGGGGCCTGCTGGTCTCCCATGCCACTGGATGTTGCTGAGTAACCCAGCTGCTAGACTTGCTCTCAGACTCAGGGAGTCCAGCTGTGAGGGACACGGTCAGCACGTTGGGGAGCAGACCTAGGCCAGGGAAGCCGCTTGCTGCCTGGACATGAAGGGAGAGAGGTCCCAGCTGACCCTGAGGGGAACAGGCCTAGTCAGTGTGTCCCCTTTCTGTCTTAATTTTCTTCCCCGGCACAGGAACCACAAGATCTGTATCTCTGAGTTCTGCACAAAGGAAAAAGAGTGGAAAAAAAAATATTTGTGTTTGTATTGAACACATATGGACAGCTTTTCTTGCCATGACTCCCTAGACAAAACAATATAACAATAACTTACATAACATTTACATCACATCAGGGATTACACATAATCTAGAGTGGACGGAGTGTACAGAAGGATATATGTGCAGGTTATATGCAAATATTACGCCATCGTCTATAAGGGACTTAAACACAAGGGCTTTTACTATCCATGGGCGTGGGTGGGCTAGGGTAGGAGTCCTGGAGTCAGTGTCCCTGGGGGTAATGAGGGAGGTTGGCACCGTCTTCAGCTTCTTCCACAGCTCGTTGGTCTTGCTGGGATTTCTGCTCCACTTCTCATGGGCAACTTGGGGTGGGAGGTAGGTCTCAATAGTAAAGGAGAACAAGGAGGACTAAAACAAAGTACCCTCTACAGCTCTGCCCATTGGCAGGCTGGTCCTCTGCTGACACTTATCTGTGACATGGATCAGTGGTCTTCATGGCACATTCTGCAGAGTTGCCAGGAGCCCTAAGGCTTCCCCAGGACCCCCGAGAGGCTGCAGGAGAGGGGGAAGCCAAGCTGTGTCTGTGCCCCTCAGCCTGGCTCCCACCAGAGTAACTGCTTTGCACCTGTTTTGCATCTTGCATTTCCGCTCAGGACTCCTTGAAGAAAGGCTCCTCAAGGTACCGGAATGGAAAGCTGGACTATACAATTGCTAAGATTCCCTCCTGGTCTGATACATGGTCTATCTGAAGCCCAGCTCAAATCATTCCTCCTCCAGGAAGCCTTCCTGCTCATCTTGCCATGGGAATGGGAGCTCCAGAAGCAAGACAACGCCAGGCACAGGACACCCTCTGTGATGTCTGAGTGTGGCAGGTGTCCCCAGCTTGGGTGAGCTCTCCCAGGGCAAATGCTCTGTCTTCCTTCCAAACCTTGGTCACCTTGCCACATGCAAACAATGTTAAGCAGATGTTCAGGCAACTTGCTGCTGTTGCCCAGAGTCACAGTGTTCATGCAGGTCAGACTCATGGCAGGGGGTGGGAGGGAAAGCCAGTCTTCAGTCTGTTGAGTCCCGCAGAGAGCCCTGTCCTTGGAAGCAGGGGTGGGGACCCTCTCTGGGGAACAGCTTCAGACTCATGCACTCCCCTAGCAGGCAAGTTCCAGAGTTCCTCCCTCCACTGGATTCTGCTCCCCTCGGGAGCACACCTGGTGGGGTCCCTCCACACACTGCAGTTATGAAACCCCAGAGAACCAGAGCAGACACAACACCCCACCAGGGCATGTGGAGGGAAAACTTGGGGCGATGAAGAGGAGGAGCTGGGAGGATTTACTCAGAGACACTGGAGCAGGTGTGAGCAGCATAGGGACAAGACAATAGCAGGGCAGTGGCCCTGGGGGCAGCCTGGGGAAAGTGCAGTGAGTGAGGAATACACTCTGCCATTGATGGGCACAGGGGAACGTTGGGACATGGAATAAACCAGTGACCTCACTCAGTCGCAGTGTCTTTACCTTGACATTGGAATGCAAGAAGCTGACTGGCTACAGGCTATTCTGCATGATGCAGTCGCCTTTAGGGGTACTGAGAGAACCAGGGACACATGCACAACTGCTGTCATGTGATAACATGGGACAGCACCCATATTTGCTTGCCCCCAGGGATGCTCTGAGGCTGATAACCCCGCCCACCCACTGCGCACTCCCACAACCAGCTCCTCTCGGCCTGGTGACCATGAGGAGGGCAGGGCCATTCAGTACAGAGGCCTTGCAGGGCCATGCCCTTGACCTTTAAAAGCCCATGACAGGAACGAAACCTAGGAGGCTGTGGAGGATCTTGAGGGCCATGCTGGTCAGTGAGGCACCCCAACAGGATCCCGGGGAAGGGGTCCTTCAGCCTCCCATCATGGGGAATGGGGGCCAAGTCCTCCCATCTGACCTTTCCCCTTTCTAGAGGAGGGTTCCTGGCTGGTACTACAGGGGACACACAGGTACTCACAGTCACAAGGGCAGCTGGGTGTGTCCACTGACGCTCTGCCTACTGAAGCCTCCAGATGAGAAGACTGAATAGCAACCAGAGCCAAGGCAGGAGCACTGGGCAGGGTTTCAAACCCTCAGCTGGTGGTAGGGTGGGGCTGGGGGACCGACCCTCGTAGATTTGGGGTAAGACCTGGTGCTGCCCCTGTCCCAGCCTTCCCTGCCAGGGGTGGAGGGCCTGAGCCCTGGTGCCACCTCCCCTCGGGGAAATTTCTTAGCTGCTGTAGCCCGAGGTGTGGCTGCTGGGTCTGCGTAGCCAAACATCAGGCAGATCAGGTTGGCTGTTGGGCAACACCACAGGGCTGTCATCTCCCAGCCCACCCCGACCCTTCCAGGATGTGCTGCTCTGGTGGGAGGCGGGCAGTGACGGGTCGTATACCGTCTCCCTCAGGGCCAGCCACAGGGTGTCCCGCTTCCCATTGAGCTGGCCCCGCTCAGGGACCGGCTGCTCAGTGTCATCCAGGTCGTCTGGGGAGGCACCCATAGAATCTGGCACACGAGCGCTGGGCTCCGAGGTGCTAAGGCAGGTCTCATCAGAGACGCTGAGCCCCTCCAGGGTGCTGGCTGAGGAACAGAGGCCATCAGGGAGCTCCTCAGCCTTGGGTTTGGGGGGTTGGGGTGGGGCTTCTGGGGGTTCCTGCAGGGGCTCATCTTTCTGCCCTTGGCACTCTGGCCTGGCTGGGGGCTGGGGGCCAGGGCCGGTCTGCTTGTAGGGGGAGGAGGTCTGCAGGGCTGGGCACTGGCTGAAGACTGCCTGGTGGTCCAGCAGCAGCTCCCTGGGGGAGACAGGGGCTGGCAGGGGCCGGGAGCAGCAGGAGCCATCATGTAGTGGCAGGTCCTCTGAGAGCACCGAGGGCCGGTGGGACAACTTGCTGGTGGCCGTGCTGGTGTCAAAGCTGGGGCTGCGGCGCCGGGCCAGAGGCTGCAGCTCGTAGTGGTCTGAGCAGGACCCGGACCCCCCTCCCACTGAGCCCTGGCGAGGGTGGCCCGACTTCTCCCCAGCAGGATCCCCGGTTCCAATGTCCCATGGCAAGTGGGCACAGGGCCAGAGGATCTGCCCACAGTTCTTCTCGGGCCCAAAGAAACAGCACAGGGACTGGAAGAAGAAGCTGGCGAAGCCGCAGCTGACACACTTGACCATCATGAGGATGATGCCCAGCTTGCGGTAGAGCAGCACCGTGGCCGGCAGCATGAGCACGCCGGCTGCAAACAGGGCCGCAGTGCCCGCGGCAGTGGCGCGGCTGGTCTGACGCAACGAGAAGGCCACGCGGCTCAGGCGGTCAGGGTGTGGGCACAGGTGGTAAGAGATGCAGTAGTTGACAGTGAAGTCGACTGAGAGGCCCACGGATGCCGAGAGGAAGAGGGCCTCGGCAGTGTTAAGCTGCCACTCAAGCAGGACCAGCAGCCCCACGGTGAGCAGCACTGTGCCAGCCACGGCTGCCACGGAGAACAGGCTCAGCGGGACGTTCCAGGTGCCCAGCAGCATGGTGGCGAAGGCGAGTGCCAGGGCCAGGCCCAGCACCACAGCCGGTTCTGTGGTCAGGCTGTGCTGCAGGCTGAACAGTTCCAAGTGGCTGGTAAACCATCCGCCACGGAGGCCGGGAGGGGCCAGGCCCAGTTCCAGGGCCAGCCAGCGGCTGACCTCGGTGTAGAAGTGGTGAATCTGGCTGTAGTCTGGGCTGTATTCAAAGTTGCTCTGGAACTGTAGGACCAGAGCAGTCAAGCCCCCGTGCGCGTCAAAACGAGGTCCCAGGTCGCGGGTGCCATTAGGGCCTTGCTCCAGAGCCATCATCTTGAGGCAGTGCAGAAAGAGCTGCGGGGCCCAGGGCAGGCTGGACTGGCCACAGCAGAGGTCGGGCCCCAGCCGGGCGCAGCCAGGGCTCTCCATCCAGCGCTGCAGGGCCTCCACGAAGCACACAGTGGGCCAGCTTCCGGGCTGCGGGCCGAAGAAGCTCTGGTTCCGTGCACTGTGACAGAGGGCCAGCAGCCAGCGCTGGGCATCGGGGCCGGTGGCCGAGAAGGTAGGGTCACTCAGCAGGGAGCTGTTGCTGCGAGGGTCTAGTGGGTCGCCTGTGTCCACGGGCAGGACGCCCCACACCAAAACAACGGGCATGCGGCCACCTTTGCCCTCTGCGGGCTGCTCGAACAGGAACTGTTGGCGGTACTCGGCGTCGAAGCGCTCAAAGGGGTGGCTGGGCCGGAAGACCTGGCCACTGGGTGGTGACAGAATGGGCAGCTGCAGGCGCGGGCTGACGCCGCCGATGTAGGCGCCCCCTGCTGCCAGCGCGGCAAACCAGCAGATCCAGATGTAGCGGAACTTGATGACGCCACAGGGCAGCAGGCGTTGGAAGAGCAAGCGCGAGCCCATGGCGACTGCCTTGCGCAGGCCGCGGAGCCGCCGGTGCAATGCCAGCACCAGGCGCCCAGGCGCGCTGCGGCCCCACGGGCCCTGGGGCGCACAGCCGCGCGCCACATAGCGCTCGTGGATCACGGCGGAGGCGGGCAGCCAGGCCAGCGTGAGTGCCACGTGTGCCAGCACAGCTGTGCCCATGAAGAGGGCGAAGCAGCGCACGGCTGGCAGGTGGCTCAAGTAGCTGGCGTAGAAGGCCGCGCTAGTGGTGAGGCCGGAGACCAGCAACAGGTAGCCGAAGTGGTGCATGGTGCGGGCCACGCGCTGGGCCAGCCCCCCAGAGGGCAGCTGATTCTTGCTGAGGCGCCACAGGTCAAAGAAGATGAGTGTGTGGTTGGCGCATACGCCGCTAAGCAGGATCAGGGCTGCTAGGTTGACGAAGGGAAAGTAAGCCATGCGGAAGGCCACGTGGTAAAGGAAGAAGGCCACCAGCAGGGAGCCCAGCACCCCCAGCAGCACCATGAGTGTGACAAACAGCGAACGCAGGTAAAGAGCAACGCCGAAGAAGATGGCAGCCAGGGACAGCACAGGGTACACTGTGTCCTGGGCCAAGTAGTGCTTAAGCAGCGCCTGCTTAAGACCCAGGTCCATGCCTGTGATGGACGTGTAGTTGTCAGAAATCGCCAAGGGCGTGAGCAGGCCGTCCAGGTAGATGTCCATCATGGAGGCCCCCTTCTGGGTGGGCAGGAAGAGCAGGCTGTACTTGAGGGAGGGTACCTGATAGTCGGCAGTCTGGGGACTCAGGAAGTCTCGATCTAGCAGAAAGTGCAGGAGTTGGTAGATGGCGCTGCTCTGTGTGCACTTTGGGGGAACCTGGGCGCAGCCTGGGGAGCGGGCATGCCTAGGGCCCAGACAGGAGGGCACTAAGGTTCCCCGGTGGTAGTGGAGGGCACAGGCCCGCAGCAGGAGCAGGATACGGGCCGTGTCCGCTTCAGTGGTGTCCAGGCAGGAAGAGCGGTTGGAGAGCACGGCCACGTAGTTGCCCAGAGACCAGCTGGGACAGCACTCATTGGCTGCTGTCCGCTGGCACAGAGCCCCAAAGCGGGTGTGGGAGCGGATCTGTAGGGCACACACAGCAGGAGAGAGCTCAGGGAGGGGGTAGTTAGGGGAAGGTCCCTCTCACCTCCTTGCAGGTTGCAGCCCACAGGCAAGCAGATGCTCAGACAGCCCTGCAGAACTGGCCTTCTTTGGCTCCCAGCCCAGTGCCAACAGCCACATCCCAACTCCGTCAGAGAGCAGGCTCTGGGATGCTGTCCGTGGCTGTGGCCTGGACAACCTTGCCCTTAGGGGCCTTTACAGGTCATACATCCCAGGATGGGGGTGGAGGGGACACATGTGGCAGCCACAGAAGGAACAGGGTCAGGGCTCTAGGGAGCTGGAAGCAAGAAATAAAACAAAGACAGGCCAGAACATTCCAGGGTGAGGGTCACTGCCGAACCCCACGGCCTGCCTTCAACCCTCTAGGGCCAGAGTTGTTTCCTTTTTAGGTCCCGTACCTCGCCCCCCCTCGGCCCCCCAGCTTTTCTCTCACCCTGCTGCTGATACAGTGATAGCTGGTATAGTTCAGACAGCACTGACTCTGCCCTACACTAACTGGCTGCATGGTCCTGGGCCCACTACCCTCGTGATGCCAACAGTAACATTTATGGAATGCTTGTTGTTGCCTGCCTTTAGGCTATCCTCCCCCTTTCTCCCATTCTACCTTGTCATCCCAATGTTCCCATGAAGAAAACACCATACACAGACAAGGCAGGACTGAGGTTAGCCAACCTGACAGAAACCAGGCAGTCCTGGCCCTGGGTCCAGGCATATGCCTGCAGGACACTTGCTCTTGGCAGTATCTGGCCATCAGGGGAAGGGGAGGCATGGGCTGTGAAGTGGCTTCTCACACTGTTTCTAGCAGGAAACCTCCCATCATGGGTCCCACCAGCGTAACTAGATGGATGCTGCTAGGACTGGGGAGAGCTGGGGCCTTCAAGTCTGCAGTGCCGGCTTCCTGGGCTGAAGCCTCTTTTTCAGGACTGGCCTTACTACCCCTCCCCTGCATGGGCTCTCTTTGAGGTACCTGGAGGTTGGTTCTTCCAGAAACAGGCCCTGGGGCCCCACCCCAACCTGAGTTATCTCGGCAGGGTTGCATCTGTTGTCTAAGCCAGGAACATGCTTCCCCAGCTGCTCCCCTGCCCCCAGCAGTCCTGGCTCGGAGGGATTCTCTTGGGATTGGGTGCCGTGTGTCCTCAGCTCTCCCAGGAGTCCTGGCAGCCCCACCAGCCAGCTTACCTGGTCCTGTTCCATGCGACACATAGAATGAATGGCGTGCACGTTCCACAGGCTGCCCGATGAGGTGGACATGAATACCAGCTTTGCATAGCTCTTCTCTGCAACACATCCCCACCCCAGAGCTAAGCCCCTGGGTCCAGCTCTGGAGCCCACAAACAGGAACATGCTTACTCTACTCACTCCCAGGACCATGTGACATTCAGACTCTCAGGAGCCAGAAATTGGTGCTGGAGACATAATCTTGTCCCTGGAGCACCCCCATCCCTACCCCCACCCAGCTTGACCCTACCTCTGAGCCATTACCCAGCCTCCTGCCTTCCTTCTCTCTGTCCACATTTGATTTGGGCCTGCCCATCCAATAGAGAAGGAGCTGGCCAAGCTGCAGCTTACCCGGAGGGCCACAGAAGAAGCTCTCCTCCTGCCTCTCCTCTGGGGGTTCCACCATCCTCCGAGAGCGCACGATGTTCGCCTGGGCAATAACTCCGGGTGTGGGGCCCCGAGTGCCATGGGAGTTGGAGCTGAGACAGAGGGCACTGTTAGGGGTGGAGAGCTCAGAGGAGGTCAGAACCCACTCCCCAGTGAGCCCCAGCAAGCCCCTCTGTCCCTCTGGGGAGTCACCCTCCTGATGTCCCCTTGCTACAGACCCTGCTCTGCCTCCGTTTCCCACCAACCCATGGCGCGAAGATGGGAATCTGTTACCTGTTCTGCTCCAGGTCTGGGGAAAAGGAAAGCAGCTTCCTGGGACCTGTGAGGGCCTGCAGTGCTCTCCAGACCATCAGCTTACGACCAATGTCGGTGTCCCTAGGCTCAAAGCCCTGGAGGAAGAAGGGCAGAGACACACAGGTGGGCAGAGCCAGTGTGCTCCAGCTGGGCTGCCCCTGTGGGTGCTTGGGCTGTGGGTACGTGACCTCTCTGCTGTCTCCTCCAACCACCATTGCTACCCTTCCTCCAGATGGACCATGCCAACACCACACCAACTTCCCACCCCAGACTGAACTCAAGCAGCTTGTCCCTGGGTGGCTGAGTGGGAGTCCCTCCCTTTCCTGGGCCCCTCACCAGCAGGGGGTCGGAGAAGTCGGGCGGCCGGCTCCCCAGCAGTCCAGCCATGGTGCAGAAGAGGATGACGGCCAGGCACAGCAGCAGCATGGCCACTGGCCACTCGGCAATCAGCTGGGAGTAGCTGGGAAAGAGGGAAGGAGCCCTTCTGAGTTGGGGTTGGGTGTGAGAGCAGGGCTGGTAACCTTAGGGTGTACTGAGAGTGGGTAGGGGCAGAGGATACATGGAACAGAGCAAACTAGGCCTGTCATGGTCACCCCAGGGGTCCAGGGAAGGCCCAGGCCTACCTCTTTGGCATCTGGAAGGCCTGTTCCTGCCTGTAAAAGAAAAAAGACATCTGCTTGTCAGAGTCCTCGAGTGTGTGTAGGGAGTAGCAGTGGGGAGCGGGAGGTGCTGAGGGAGATAGTGGAAAATGATATTAACCTTTTTAGGATAGTGTGATGCCCAAATGCCCACCCTTCCTTCCCATCCCACCTGGGGTGCCTTCTCTACCAGGGAAGGAAGGAGTGCAGTGCCTAGGGATGAAGCCTTGCAGTGGCCTGCTGGCTCTGGCTTACCTGACGGTGACCACATGGTGTTGCAAGGGTGGTTTCCAGGCCCCATCGAGCTGGGAGGGAACAGGGGAGTGGCTGAAGCTGCAGCCATGGGAGCAGAGAGCTGTCTTGTCACCCGGGCCTAGCAGAGAACTGCCCCCCTGGTAGTCCTGTGGCACCTGGGGATAGGCAAAGTGGGCAGGGGCCAAGGGGCCGGCTGGACCCACAGGCTGGAAGATGGAATTGGCATGTGGGGGTCCTGAGGAATTGGAGGGGTCCTCCAGGGGGCAGCTGTGGAGGGAACAGCTTCTCTCTGGGCTTGCTTCAGGGGCTACAGCTTTGATCTGGGACCTGTGGAGAGAAGGGAATTCAGGGTGGAGGACAGCGGTGGGCTGTCCCATGCCACAGCATTATTCAACAGGGTTTTTTTGTACTAGTCCTGGGAGAGAGGTGACACAGAGAAGGGCTTAGTCTGCACCCTTAGCCTACTTCTTGGTCTCCATTCCCTCATCCAGTCATGTACTCATGCCTGCCTGCATGTCAGGCACTGAGTCAGACATGGAACATGCTTTTCTAGAAATTATTTATTTATTCCTTACAGGAATCTCACAAGGCAAGCATTGTCCTTGTTTTATAGGCTTTTTAAAAAATCAATTGTTTATTGTTTTTATACTTATTTTGGAGAGATAGAACTTCCATTTGCTAATTTGCTCCTGCAGACAGGCTGGACCAGGCTGCAGGTTGAAGTGGGGAGCCAGGGATTCAATCCAGATCTCCCATATGCAGGGCAGGGACTCAACTACTGAAGCCATCATCTACTGCCTCCCAGGGTGCACATAAGCAGGAAGGTGGAATCAGCAGTGAAGCTGGGACTTGAACCAGGTACCCCAATATGAGATGTAGGCGTCCCAACCAGTAGCTTACCCACTAGGTCTAACAGCTATCTCTCATTCTATAGATTCAGACAGTGAGAGGTAGCCACTGGACCTTGAGCTCAGTACTTCCTAGTCACAGTCCTGGCGCTTCTATTTACTCTCTTGACTCTTGTTTCCACCTTAGAACTCTGAGCTTTCTCACCCCTTCGCCTGGGTGGCTTTCTCCCAGTTAATTGCCTATCTTTTTACTCGTCCCTGACTACTCTCTAAAATAGTCATCCAGTAGGTCTCTACCCCTTTCCATACTTTATCTTTTTTAAAGCATTTTTCTGAAAGCAAATACTAGAGAGTTATCATGTTTTAAAAGGTTTTTTTTTTTTTAGTTGAAAAACAGATATCTTTCATCCTCTGAGTCCCTTCTCCAAATGCCTGTATCATAACCAGGACGGGAAGAGGCCAAAATCAGGAACCCAGAGCTCAGGGTGCATCTCCTACATGGGTGGCAGAATTTCAAGTACTTGGGGCATTACCTGGTACCTTTCAGGTTGTACATTAGCAGGAAGCTGGATTGCAAGTGCAGGAGCCAGGACAAAAACAGGCACTCTGGTATGGTTAGGAAGCAACATAATGGGGCGATAGCTTGCAAGTGCCTGGGTCCCATACAGGCACTGGTTTGTATCCTGGCTGCTACAGTTCCCATCCAGCTCTCTGCTTGTGGCCTGGAAAAGCAGTGGAGAATTGCCCAAAGCCTTGAGACCCTGCACCTGTATGGGAGACCTGGAAGAAGTTTCTGGCTCCTGGCTTCAGACTAGCTCAGTTCTGGCCAGTGCAGCCACATGAGGAGTGAGCCAGCCAATAGAGGATATTTTCCTCTGTCTCTCCTCTCTGTAAATATGACTTTCCAATAAAAATAAGTAAATCTTTTTTTAAAAAAGTGACTTAACTACCCTCCCTACCTCTGTCGTGTTTCTCACCTGTCTCTCATATGGTATTTGAATAGTGGGAGAACAGGAACCTGATGCACTAGCTCATCTCTATCTTCAGTGTATTGAATGACACCATGCGCACAGAAGATGCCCAGGGAGTGCTGCTGGATGAATCCTGGGAGCTAAACTGGTCGCTGAGAGTGGGGCTAGCACGGGTAAGACCCAGTCCTCGCCCTGTAGGCACCCACTGGGGGTGAGACGTGGACAGGCTAGCATTCTGAGTGGTGTGAGACAGGAAATCACAGAGGGCTGAGGGAGCCCGGAGAGGGTCAGACTTTGACAGGGATGGGGATGATCAGGCAGTTTTGCGAAGACAACTGCTGCCTTTTCATCACCCCCATGGAATAGGCCATGAAGGAATCAGCAATGGATTCATCTCTCCGTGCTGCTCACCAGGGCAGCACTCTGCATACAGACCCAGCCCTGCTCCTACAGTCCTGGAGGAGATGGGGTGTCTTCTCAGAGGCAGGACTGCCACATGCAGGCTGGGCAAGGTTGGCTACAGAACAGAATTGGGACCAAAAGGTCCCAGGCTGGGTCTCCCTGGTATAGCCTTATTTCCTTTCTCCTGTCCTGTCTGGCTCACCAGGTCTCCCAGAGCTTGCATAGCTCTATGGGAGAGCCAGGGCTCAGCAGAGCCAATCCCAGCATCTAGCCCTTCCTGCAGCAGTGTTCAGGGAGCTGGGGACTGGAATTCCAGCCTTAGCAGCAGGGAGACATAACCCACAGCGGCTGAGTTCTGCTCACAGAGGAGCACGGTATCTCTAGAAGGCTGGCCTCACAGTCTGGGATGGGATGACCCTCCAGGACAAAAACAGTAACAGTGGGGGAGTGGGCTCCTGACTGCATCACCCTTTAGTTTTGGAGCCTCAGGAAAGACACACGAATTTGAATGTTAGCATCCTCTCTATGGAGGCCGTGGTGACACAGTCCATCTCTCAGGCCTGAGGTAGCTTACGTATGTGAGGGGTCTGACAATGAACCTGGCACAGGAAGACACGTCTGTTTCACACTCAGGGCTGTGGGAAGCGGGTGCCTCCGAAGTGCATTTGCATTTCCAGCTTGTCCTCTTGGTGCTTCAGGTAATGCAACCTCCATTTCAGAACTTCACACACATTGAGAACCTCACTATGTATTTAATTATCAGGGCTTTCCTTTTGTGTGTGTGTGTGTGTGTGGTCCAAAACTGGCATCAAAATTTGCCCTCATGATCTGAATCACTGGTATTTACTAATGCAACATGTAGAAAAATAGCAATTTGACCAATGTTGTTTTAAAGCAAGGCTTCAAATGACTGCATGAAGTTACTGATGTCCTGGGAGATAAGGAACTCTGTAGGCCAGTCCCTGTGGGCCAAAATAAAGTTGGGTGAATGTCTCTCTGTTTCTCTTTTTAGCACTTGCCATGTACTGTGCTTGATCTGGCTTGGGTTCTGAAGGTATGAGGATGATCACTTAGCCTTCACTCCCCTCCATTCTCTGAGTTAGGAGAATGGGCAGCCATGGTGGATATGAGAAGCCCGTTCTAGCTGCGCACAGCCTGAGAGCAGCACTGAGCACTGGGCTTGTCCTGGGAGCCAGACCCCTCTTTGGAGAGGCAGTTTCCTGTGTCAGGTGAAGCAAGCACTTCCAAGGGTGCTGGAGGAAAGTGAGAGCCCTTAGTCTGCCCCTTCCTTAATTCCGCTTGAGGGTGACCCTCGCCTCAAGCAGTCTGCTTCCACTGGTGTCTCCCAGGTCCCAGCTCTTTCCCATCAACTCATTCTGGTCATCTTCAGGGACCTAGGATCAGCTGCCCCCAATCTCTTCTTCCTTGACAGTCCCATCATTCAGTTTCAATGCAGCAGAATTTGAAAACTTCCATGTTCTATTTGCTGTAGAACCAGGTCTTTTTCTCAACCTTCCCAATGAAAAATGCCAGCCTCCAAACCTCTCATAAGGAAAAACATTCTCCTGGCAGCCCCTGCTGCCCACGGCTCTCTGGAGACCCCAATAACCACAAGCAGTTAAGCACCCTGGGCCTGGCTTCCCCAGTTCCCTCTCAGTTCCACCCCTGATTGGGATGAGTAACTTTCTGGGCTGCCTGCCTGGGCCTGCTGGACTGGCAGCCAAACGACCAAGCAGACAGGCAAGCGGGCAGGGGGATGCAGAGCAGTGCTGCAGACTTCACAGAGCAGGCCAAAGCTCCAGTCAGCAGGGCCTGGCTGCCAGCTCCCCGGACATACAGCCCAGCTTGGCTCGTCCAAGTCCATCTGCAGGCTCACCGTGCAGGGGCCAGGATGGATGGGGAGCAGCTCAGCTTATACCATCAGGAAAACAAGAAGGTCATTTTGAAAACACTGAACTGGTCTCTGCAGCCACTATGTTTGCAGCATGTGTGCCATCAAACTCAGCAGGAGCATTTCTGCTTTCTGAGTCAGGTTGGAGTCTCTGTGTCAGATTAATATCCCTGGCCTCTGGGGAAAGGAGGAACTGGGGTCCCTGAGAATTTCTGTAAAACAGCAAGTGGTATCTGGGCATGGGAAGGACTGAGCCTGGACAACATAAATGTATCCAGGGCACAACGCGATCCTCCACTCTCCTTGTCTTGCCCTGGCCTTGCTCCAGACTGGCTCCCAGCCCCCTGGGGGTAACAAATCCACCCTGGAGATCCCTCTGCTGAAGAGGGCTTTGTGCCTTTCACCTTCCTGGGCTCTTGGGGTCACAGCAGAGGGGAGTAGCTCTCCACACTTGTGGGGCTTTCCTTGTCTCCGAGGGCTAGAACTACACTGTAGCTGGGGCAGCCTGCAGACAGCATCCAGCTCTGCTTTTTACCTGTCAATAATTCTTTTTTCTCCAGTTCGGGCAGGAGAGAGCCATGTCATGTCTGAGGAGGGGCTTTGGGGGATGCAGAGCCAGACAGGCCACAGGGATTGTGGAGCCTCACACATAGGGTGCGTAAAGGGGTTAGGCCAGAGACCCTCAGTGGGTCTTCCTGTCCCACCAGCAGCTCCTTCAGGGGTAGCTGTAGACCTCGAGGGTCTGTGCCTCAGAGCCGGCAAGCTCAGCCGCCCCTGGGAACAGCAGTGGCCAACCACACACGCAGGGACACCAACCCACACACAGCCACAGCCCCCGGGCGATGCAGGGATGGCCAGCGACTGCTGGGGATGGACCTGATGTGGTTGCCCTCCCCTCCCCAAGATACCCGCCTGGGCCAGCCTCGCATCAGCCGAACATGCGCGTCTCCGTGCACACTGACATGCTGGACCCGTACTGAGGTTGCTGCGGGCTTGGGGCATCCTGAACAGACGCAGGGCCAGGACCTGGGGAGCGCAGGGGGAGCGGGAGGCCAAGGGCGCGCGCACAGGGGCATGGGGCCTTTGAGGAAAGGTACGGAACAGTGGGTGGGGCAGGTCCCCCCCACCCCGGAAGGCAATGGGCGCGATCGGATGCCAGCACCCGATGCGGGTCGGGGAGCAAGTGAATAAACCCAGCAACACGAGGGGGCGGGAAGGGAGGCCGGGAGCGTGATGGACCCCCGCACCCCCAACCCCCGCCCCAAGCAGGGGCATGAAATGGGGTGACATATGGCGGCTCCTGGGCTACCTGTGGGGGGAGGGGAGGGGCTGGGAAGGTTTGCGAGCTGGGTCTGCGTACCTGTCCGGGGAGCTGCCGTCTGGAGCCAAGCGTTCCTCCTCGGGCCGCTGCTTCCCTTCCGGACCCGGGCCTGAAGCCCGTCCGCTGCCGCCGCTGTTGCACCGACCGCGGTCCATGCCCGTGGGCGGCGCCGCTGTCCGGGCGCTGGTGCTGAAGCGGCGGCGGCAGCAGCGGCGGTGGTGGCGGCGAACTCGTGCGCAGGCGTCAGCTCCCAAGGCCGGTCGCTGGGCGGGACTGAAAAGTAGCCCAACCAATGCGCGTGGCGCCGGGGCCGGGCGCAGCTGCCCAGAGGGGCGGCGCCTGGCGCTGCTGCAGCCCGGCTGTCAGGGGGCCCGCGGCGCTGGCGCGGTGGGCGCCCCCGCCCAGCTGCTCTGGCTTGGGCTGTGGGCCCCGGGCCTCACTCAGAGCCTCGCAGCTCGAAAAACAGCGGAGTATACAGACCTGCGCTCCGTAGGGCCTGACACTGAGGGGCTGAAATGGCGGGTGCCCTCCTGGCCTCCCTAGTGAGGCCAGGCATCAGCTTCTACCTGGAACAGACCGCCGAGTGTGGGGACAAGAGAGAGAGAAGGCAGACCCTTGAGATTCCACTGGTGCTCCCACCTCAGCCTGGCGGGAACCCAGGGTTTGCCACCTTCGCCAGGACGCTTGCTGGCTCCAGTTCTTGGAGTGAGGGTGGGGGTGGGGGATCGCTGGGAGGATGTGTAGGGCAGAGCACATCTGGGTGTGATGGCCCCTGGATGGACCTGGCTGGAGAGTGGCCTAGCCAGAACCGAGAGGACATGATGCCTGGGGGCCCGGACGGGATATGGTGTTTGTGTAGGCCAGAAGGGCCTGGCCTGGGTACAGAAGGAGTGCCTTGGCTGAAGGCGTCAGACTGGGAAGAAAGTTGGAGTTCAAGGGACGTTTGGACTGTAGTTTCCTTGAGATGTGTGCATCCACCAGTCACAGAGGATGCAGTGGGAGAGCGTGGAGAAGTTGGTAGGTCTGCCCTGAGCCGCGTTCGGGTGGGTTGGAGAGGATAAGAGCCAGCTGCCACATGGCTGCCCATTGGGCAGGCCCGTGTGAAGAAAGGGAAGGCTTCTTCTTAAGAGGCCCTGGGGGATCACAGAGATGGCAGGGCTGCTGCTGGCTCGCAGAGCTTGAAACTGGAGGTAGGACATACTTGACTTGTAGGAGACAGAAGCCTTGAAAAGTTTAGGGAATGTTGGGCCCCGGCGCGGTGGCGCAAGTGGTTAAGGTCCTCGCCTAGCACGCCCGGGATCCCATATGGGCGCCGGTTCTAATCCCGGCAGCCCCGCTTCCCTTCCAGCTCCCTGCCTGTGGCCCGAGGACAGCCCAAAGCTTTGGGACCCTGCACCCACGCGGGAGACCCGGAAGAGGCTCCTGGCTTCGGATCGGCATAGTATCGGCCCGTTGCGCTCACTTGGGGAGTGAATCATCAGACAGAAGATCTTCCTCTCTGTATATCCAATAAAAAAAAAAACTTTATAGAAAAGTTTAGGGAATGTAGACAAACCTGCTGGTGGTAAGGGGCCATGGAAGGCTTCCACAGAATGAGATGTGCAGATGGCCCATCAGCTCTGGGAAGGGGGAAAGGGAGGTGACCAGGCCATACTTGAGGTGCCTTGATGGGAGGGGAACGGAGTGGCAAGGCAAACAGCCCTTGTATAGGGACCTGCATCCTGTGGATGCCACTGGGCCCCACGCCAGACGGCCAGACTGCATGCCCCTTTTCCACCATGGGGGAGTCAGAGGCACTGGGCCCCCCAAATGCCAGGGCAGATTTGAAAGAAGACAGGCTCTCTGATGACTGGGATATGGCCTTCTGCAGGCTATTTATTAGGAAGACAAGATTGCCGAGTGGGCCACCCGCCAGCCCCGTGGGTTGATCTGCTCAGGTGCCTCCTCTTCTGGCTTGTTTGCTTCTGTCTCCTCAATGGTGTGGACCATGGTGGTGGTGGTGGTGGTGGGGAGGTCCATGGCCATGAGGAGGGTGTGGGCCAGGAGGGTGTGCTGGGCCATGGCCAGGAGGGTGGTGTCCACCGGGCTTTGGGGGGTGCCCTCCTTGACAATGTCCTGGGCCATGGCCAGGGGGTAGCCCACAGTGGCCTGGAGGATGGCCGCCAGCACAGTGTCCCTGTGGAGAGCCAAGCAGACAGTGAGTCAGAGGTTAATGCCAACTGATCTGAGATTAACTCTCCCTCTGCCCACCTCCCCAGGGGACTCAGGATTCCTAGGCACTGGCAATGGACTGCGGTGCTGGGCTGGGCAACAGGGCAAGCAAGTAAGTGTCAAGTGAGTGAGCGTGGCCTCCTTTGCCTTGAACCCAGAGCAATGAGCAGACAACAGGGGGAGACTGGGCGGCTTCTCTGCATGCTGGCTGCAAACTAGCTGGACATCAGCTAGTTTGTAACTAGACGTAGCCTGAGCCCTCTGCCTGGAGCACCTGCAGGGTGATTTGAAGCTTTGCCACGTTGTTGTGCTGAGACTCACTAGATGTAGCAGCGAGGAGGGTGAGGCCGAGGGAAGCAGGGGAGGACTAGGGACCCGGGGGCAGGGGAGCCAGGAAGCTGGGCCCACAGGGACACAGGAGCCAAGAAAAAGGAGGTGCCTGGTTGTGTGAGAATGGGTGTGAGCCCATGATGCTGAACATGTGCCAGGCCCAAGAAATCAAGAATAATAATTGGGGCTGGTACAGTGGCTCAACACGCTAATCCTCTGCCTGCTGGCTCCCGCATCCCATTGGTACCAGTTCCTGTCCCAGTTGCTCCATTCCTGATCCATCTTCCTGCTTATAGCCTGGGAAAGCAGCAGACAATGGCTCAAGTCCTTAGGCCTCTGCACCTATATGGGAGACCCAGAAGAAGCTCCTAGCTTCTGGGTTTGGATCAGCTCAGCTTTGGCTGCTGTGGCCTTTTAGAGTGTGAGCCAATAGATGGAAGACCTCTGACTATGTCTCTCCTCTCTGTAAATCTGCCTTTAAATTAAAATATAAGTAACTCTGAAAGAATATAGTGAGAAGTAAATGCCTGGTCAGGATAGGCACAATGCTGCTTGGGATGCCTCCATCCCATGTCCCAGTCCTGCGGGCTGAGCTCCAGCTCTGCTTCTGATTCCAGAGGCGGCAGGTGATGGCTTAGCTCTTTGGGTTCCTGCCACCCATGTGGAATTAAGTTCTAGACTCCTGGCTTCAGCCTAGCCTGGTCCTGCCTATTGTGAACATTTTGTCTGTCTTTCTGCCTTTCAAATAAAATAAAGAAATAAAGATCTTGGGCCTGGCACAATAGCCTAGTGGCTAAAGTCCTTGCCTTGCTTGTGTCGGGATCCCATATGGGTGCCGGTTCTAATCCTGGTGGCTCCGCTTCCCTTATAACTCCCTGCTTGTGGCCTGGGAAGGCAGTCAAGGATGGCCCAAAGCCTTGGGAGCCTGCACGCATATTAGAGACCCAGAGGAGGCTCCTGGCTCTTCGCTTTGGATTGGCTCAGCTCCGGCTGTTACAGCTACTTGGGGAATAAATCAATGGACAGAAGATTTTTCCCTGTCTTTCCTCCTTTCTGTATATCTGGCTTTCCAATAAAAATAAAACAAAAATCTAAACGAAAGATCTTTTTAAAAAGTTTCACTCCACTATTAAAAAAAAAAAAAAGTCAAGTGAAAGGCCTGGCCTGGGAACAGTGCAGTTTAAGCTTCTGTCTTGGCTGGACCAGCTTCTGAGGCCCCAAGACCAGTGGGGTTTTGTTTGCTTCTTGTTGCAGGGCCAGGGAAGAGAGACACACACTTCACTTCTGTGCTCAGACACTGGGGGATCTGGGGCCCCTTTTAAAGACAGGCTGGGGTTGGGTAACTCCCAGGTTACTTCTGCTCCCATGACTCTTTTTGAGGTAGGGGTCACAGATCCAGGCCTATGAGCTGAATCTGCTGGGGGGTGAGAGGAGTGAGAGAGACAGCAATCTTCAGAGGGCCCCACAGGGCCATTGGGAGCCGGCCAGCCACCCAGCAATGCCATGGGGTTAGGCAGGAAGGCAGAGAATCAGGGACAGGCGGGGAAGCAGCGGGAGGGAGGACAGGCTGCCGGGCAGGGAGGGGGTGTGAGGGAAAGGAGGAGGCAGATGGGAAAACAGGAGATGCCAAGGAGAAGGCTGCAGCAGCAGAGGTGGGTGCAAGCAGCATTGTGCTTCCCGCCCCCCGCCTCCCGGGGCCTGGGGCCTGAGCCTGCTCTCTTTTCTTCATTTGGGGGAAGTGGAGGCCGCTTGTAGAACATTCAGGTTGGAGGCTGGGGTCCAGAGGACACAGCAAGAGAGCGGAGAACTGGACAACTTCCTACCTTGGGACCTGTGGGAGGGAAAGGGTTTTGGTCATTTTGTTCTGTGTTGAAAACACCTGGCTCCTGCCTGGCACTTTTAACCACCTGCTCCATCCCCTTCCAGCTCCTCAGGTTTGGCCACTCGCCTGACAACCATGCCATCATTCACTCTCCCAATGACAGGTGCGCATTGAGATCCAATGCAAGCACATTTGTGTGCAGAGGCTGGTTCCAGGCACCCCACCCCAACCCAGGCGGCATTGGGCCAGCAGGTGGCATGAGGCCAGTAAGGGGTATGTGCTCCTGTCCTTGCCCTGTCTGTCCTCTGCCCTCCCAACCTGGGCTGAGTTCTGCAACCCTGAGGGAGCCACACGCAGAGCCAAACCCTCTTGTGCTTCTGCTTCCAACGCACGGGCCCCACCAAGTCCCCTGACTGCCCCTCACATTCTGCTCAGCCCCCAGAGAGGTTTGCTGACTCCTGCACCCGAGCCTCTGCTCCCAGCTCTAGGCCTTCGTGCCTGCCTCCTCCCCCTTGGAACTGTCTCTGGCTCTGCCCGTGCCACCTCCGTCAGGGAAATCCTCCTTGCTGGGGGCCTGTGGGCTCATTTCTGCTGTGACCAGCTGAGGAGATCCTGAATTGCTCCTTTGAGGGCTTTGTCCTAAGCCTGAGGTGATTTTTAGTTCCCTTTGTGTGTGTAGGTTGGGGGAAGTGCAAAGGCACAGCTGCTGAGAGCTAGGTTTGGGTTCCAGACCTGGTGGTACCTCTGTGGCCTGCCCCTGGATGTGACCCTCCCAACTCCTACAGACCTCTGTGTGCAACCAGAGAAGCACCTGCCTGTTGTACTCCTGCGGTCAGAGGTTGGATGGGATGACAGATAGTGAACATATCCCCTTGGGTGGACTCTGTGCTACAGCAGCTAAGGCCCTACCTCTGCCTTCACACACACACACACACACACACACACACACACACACACACACACACACACAGATTTTGGCAGGTACCGTCTGGCTGCCTGCCCATCCTCCTCTATTTTCCCTCCTCTCTTCCTCTTGCATCCCCATGGTCCCCCACCCACCATGCTTACCTGGGTGCATCTTTTATGGAGCAAGAGCAACCAGCGAGTGAAGCAAGGAAAACCTGCAGGTCAACAGATAGCATCTCAGTTGGCTGTAATCTGAATCCCCATCACTTTCCCTCTTCCCTCCCAGGGATGCACACATGCAATTCCTCCAGTGCATGGAAGCATTCAGACTGTTCCCTGGGGCTTGGCTTGGCACCCAGTGTGGAGCTGGCATGCCAGGTGTCAGGCCCAGGTGTTAAATGGACACCGTGGACGGGTCTCCTGTACGGTAAGCAGATGGTGACAAGCCAATCCCAGGTGTCAGCCCCTAAACAGTGGACTCCTGAACCTGATACCCCCACCCACCGCCAGCCTTAGAATCATGTGTTAACTCAGTAATCCTTGAGCTGATCCCAATCACGTTAATTATTAACGTTGTATGCCTGTGTGTGCCAGGTCTTGGTGCCATCTGTCCCTGGGTGAACACCTGACCCAGAGATGGGAGACTGGTGCCTCCAGGCAGGCAAGGGCAGAATTGGGGTGGTAAGCAAGGGTCTCTGGTCACCTAACAGTGTCCGTGGTCTTCGTCCCTGCAGCCCAAGTGAGTGGAAATTCTGCCAGGGTCCTAGATGCCTGTTCCTTCCTCTTTCTACCAGGACACTGGGGGTCTGAGCCAATTTGTCATTTGTCTGTAAGGTTCTCATTAGATGAAGGTCTGGCTTCATCTTACTTGGTTTTGCATGCAAGATACAAGAGATAACCCAGAGTGGACCCAGTGCACACACACCATGCTCATTTTCTTGTCTGACTCTCAAATCAGAACATAATATGAGAACCAGGACTAAACACTTGCCCCCGCAGGGCTCTCTGATACACAAAGGCACCTGTTGCTAGGGTTACCACCCCTCCCCCCATAGGACAGTCCCAGCTGCTTGTCAGATGCAGTCTGCTGCATTGCTTGCTACATCCGCTCTAAGGGGCTGCTTCTTGTCCCACAGACATTCGATTGGACTCAGCCTCAGAACTATGCCCACAGTCCTTCTTATCCCTGCCCCCTCCATCTTAAGTAACGAGGTTCTTAATAGACAACTGGTTATGGACTTGAGGGGACGGCCGGGGGAAGAAACCATCAGCTCCCTGCTCATGTGCCTGGGAGAGCAGTGGAGGGCGCCCCAGGTGCTTGAGCCCCTGCCACCTATGTGGGACACCTAGATGGATTTCCAGGCACTTGGTTTCCACTTGGCCCAGTCCTAGTCGTCGTGGCCAATTAGAAAGTGAACCAGTGAGAAGATGGAAGATGCATTTTCCTCTCCCCTCTCTCACTCTGTCTTTCAAATAAATCTTAAAACAAACAGGAGAAAAGCCCTCAGGGTTTTCAGGATCTGGATTAGAAGAAGGAGAAAAAATAGCTCTCAAATGTTCAGGGACAGGAGCTGGCAGCACTGGCCTGGACCTCATGCAGTCCCTGCAACTCTTGGCTAAGGTCCTTTGCCTGGCATGGCTGAGGCTGCACACCAATTAGAACCCAGGGTGGAGATGTGCAGGGACCGAGCCGAGGAGTGTGCACAGGGCAGACGGGTCGACATGCCGGGAGGTGCACAGCCACCCAGCATCCAGACACATCGTACTGACAAGAGACAGACAGCGCTGGCAGATGCACGACACCCACACAGACACGGAGGCACCGGGAGCAGCTCGGTTCAATTAGAGTGCACACACCCTTCTCAGAGAGACCACGCGCTCACAGTCACGCACCACATGCTGCAGAGCCCCTGCTGCCCTCTGCCCAAAGCTTGCAGAGCAAGCTGCTTACCTGAGAGTGCCGAGTGGAGCTGAGGTGGGAAGTGTGAGGTGCTGTCTGTCCTAAGGTCTTATTTGTACGCAATTGGGAGGGGCCAGGATGAGTCATGTGCCCTGGAAGGTCATGGGCAGGGGTGGTGGCTAGGTGGTAATGGGGGGCAATGAGGAAGGATAAACTAATCTTATCTGTGTCATCTGCAAAGGGCCTTGGAAGTAGGATGTGGGTGGGGAAGGGCAGAGTAAGGAACAAACTATTAGCAGACTCATCTGTAATGAGATGCTGTATAACCAAGGTGGGGTCCCCAGCTACAGGGAGCTCCCGCTGAAAGCCAGGCTGTGCAGGGACCACTTCCCATGCTGCTTCTCACACATGCTAACCCCCAGCCAGACTCCTACAGACTTCACCAGCCCAGCAGGTGGGGGAAGAAATAATGCCCTTAGTGGAAGACCTGGTGGAGTTCTGGCCTGGGGGTCCAGTGAGATCCTGGGAGTCCACTTCAAGGTGAGGCTAGACATGGGAAAGGGAGTGAGCGGCTTTGGAGTTCAGGCTGCAGCTCCTTCCCTACTGCAGAGTCTGTGAGCCCTGTGTTGTTTGCCACAGTCAAAGAACTCTGACCCCTTCCTCTCCTGGCATCCCTGCTGCCAACTCTCCTGCCTCCGGGGACTGTTCCCACTGGACTCTGTGCTCCTCCAAGGAGAGGGCCTGTGGTGGCTCTTAGTCACCTGGCCCTGGGAAATCTTCCTGGCTGTCAGCAGGTACCCCGTAAAACCCTTGGTGATTGAATAAGGGAAGGAGTCAGTTATTGCGGGGTAATAACCAGCTCTGGTTGCTATGGTAGATATTTGTACTTAGTCTTCTCTCTCTTGTTTGTATATTACATTTTTTTTTTTAAGATAAAGAAAGGGATCGTGCATGGTCTCAGGCCCCTGCCTTCACTCCACTCCCCACGCTGGCTGCCCTGGCAACGTGGTGCCTGACTGTGCTACCTCCAGGGCTTCTGTCTGCAGTGAGGCACAGGGGCTTGGCTGTCCAGGGCAACAAGAAAAGCAGACCCTCCAAACCCAGCCCTGCTTCCACAGTTGCTGTCAAGACTCTGGGAGAGCTTGCTGTCCTTGAACTGCGTTGAATTAATTACTTTTTATTCATTTAAGAGACAGAGCTCCCAACTGCTGGCTCACTGCCTAAATGCCCATAGTCAGGGTCAGAGCTAAAAGCCAGAAACCCAGTCCAGGTTTGTCAGGGACAGGGACTCAATTCCCCCTGAGCCATCACCACTGTCTCTGAATCTGCAGGACAGGAAGCTGGGGTCCAGAGTGGGAGCCAGGAATGGAACTTAGGCACTGCAGTATGTTTATCTTAGCTGTGTCCTTATGGCTGAGATAAATGCCTGCGCCCTAGATTAATTTATCTTATTCGAAAGAGTTACAGAGAGAAAGAGGGAGAGACAGAGAATTTTCCATCTACTAGTTCCCACACCAATAGCTGTAACAGCGGGGGTTGAGCCAGGCCAAAGCCAGGGGCCAGGAGTATCTTCCAGGTCTTCTACATGGGTGCAGGGGCTCATCCTCTGCTGCCTTCCCAGGCCATTAGCAGGGAGCTGAATGAGAAGTAGAGCAGCCAGAACACAAATCCATGCCTATATGTGATACTGGCATTGTAAGCAGTGATGTTAAAACTACATCACTGTATCACATGTAGTGGAAATGTATTCAGTAGTAAAAAGGAATGAGTTATTTATATAGGTAAAACCTAACTGGATCTTAAAATAACTAAAATAATTGTGTAGAGTGAAAGAAACTGGACATAAAGAACACATGCTATATAATTTTATCTGTAAAATCTTCCAGAACACATGAACATGGCAATGCACGTGGCCAGGGAACAGGGTGGTGGCAGTGAGGAAGGAACAGAAGAAGCCATTAGAGGAGCCCAGAGAGGGAACTGGCCACGTGGCACAGAGGGCTAAGTCACTGCTTGCGATGTCGGCATCCCACACAAGAGCTTCAGTTTGAGTACCAGTTCCCTCCTCACACACCTGAGAAACAGTGCTTGGGTCCCTGGCACTCAGATGAGAGTCCTGGATGGTGTTCTGGGCTCCTGGCTTTAACCTCCCCCAGCCCTGGCCACTGTAGCAATTTGGGGAGTGAACCAGATGGAAGATCTTTTCTGTCTCTCCCCATGTCTTCCTGTCTCATTGTCACTGCCTATCAAATAAACACAATTTTAAAAAGAGAGAGCAGGGAAGTGCAGGGATTATGGGGATTATGTTTTTTTTATCTTGATTGTGTTGATGGCTTCAGGGAGCGTGCATAAAACAAAGCATCAAATTGTACAATTGAAATACATTTAGTACTTCAGGTAGAGCTATAAAGGCAGAGATATGAGACATATCAGGAAATGGCGTGTAAAATGATCAGAGGGGTGGGCAGGGAAGGCCAGGGTGTATCTGTCTGTTTGGTTTTATAGTATCACAGGTCTCCAATAAACTGTTGGATGTGTTATTACACTCCTCTCTCACACAGTTTCAAAAGCTGGGGTTCAGAAACTAAGAAACTCACTTGAGTTGGTCCAACCACTGGGTCTCAGAGCCTGAGTGCAGCGCCTGGGCCCCTTTGCTCTTCTTTTAGGAATGGCCTCTGAAGGGTGGGCATTAGCGTGGCTCCTGCCTCCTGTATCAGAGTGGGTTTGAATCCAGCTCTGCTTCTGATTTCAGCCTCCTGAAAATCCCAGCCTGGAAGACAACAAGTGGAGACTCAAGTGCTTGGGTCCCTGCCATACACGTGGGAGATGTAGATGGAGTTACAGGCTCCTGGCTTTGGCATAGCCCCATCCTGGCTGCTACAGACATTTGGGGAGTGGATCAGCAGATGAAAGATCTCTCTTCCCTAAAAAAAAAACAAAACAAAACAAAAAAAACAACCAAAAAAAAACAAAAACAATGTAAAAATCAAAAGGTGTGTTCCTCTGAAACAACTGCAGCCTACCCTTATGGCTGAGGGACTTTGGTTTATGACTAGGGAGCACATTGGCTGTGAGTCAGCAAGAAGCCAGGGTGGGTTGCTGGATAGAGGCCGAAGGCTCAGGTCCTGTTTATAAAGGCGTGGAACCCACCAGGTGCCATGCTCACGCCTCCACTATGTGAAAGGGGAAATGGAGCCCATGTCCCATGCCTGCAATGCACATGGGGCTGCAATGCACATCCGGCTAGACTTCCCTGGCTTCTGCACCATCTCTCCATCACCCTTAGAAGTTTTTTTGTAAATCAATCTCTTTGTTAAAATGCATGTATATTTGAAAGTTAGAGTTACAGAGAGAAAGAGGGATCTTCATGCACTGGTTCACTGTGCAAATGGCCATGGTTGCTGAAGATGGACTGGTCCCATGCCAGGAATCAGGAGCTTCTTCCAGGTCTCTGCATAGGTGCAGGGGCCTGAGGTCCTGGGGCATCCTCTGCTGCTTTCCCAGGCTGTGAGCAGGGAGCTGGATGGGAAGCGGAGCAGTCAGGATGTGAACCATTCCCTGGGTGGATGCTCCTGCTGTGGGAGGTGGCCTTACCCCTGACCACCAGACTCAGGAGATCATGTATCTGCCCCATGGAGGACATGTTAATGTTTGCTTTGGGCTTGAAGATTTTTCTCTGGAAGCTATAGGCTCCCCTGACTGAAGTCCACTGGACCATCACCAACATTTCCAAAGAGCATGATCTCACTGACCAATCACAGCAGGACCATGAGAACAGCCGACCAGCCAGCGGCCTGTGCTGCTGTACCCCAGCTTCCAGCCCTAACAGCCTTTACCCCACCCCCTGAAGAGCCCAACAGTCAGGATGCAATTGCCTGCTCCCTGCTCTGTGCCTTGCAGGGAACACCTCCTTTCCTCCATGACTGATGTCAGCGATGGACTCCCTGTGCACTGGGCAAGTGGGCCAAGATGTGAAAGATGTGAAAGATCTCCACAATAGCACTTCCTGTGCCCACCCACACCTTGCCCTCACCAGCCCTCCTGTTCCAGAATCTTCCTTTCCCCATTAGGGACCATGATACCATACCCCTTCTCTCTCTCTCTCTCTCTCTCTCACACACACACACACACACACACACACCCCTGTAGCCTTTGGCAGAAGCTGTAAGTCTGAGTCGCAGATCCAGAACATAGCAGGCAGCATAAGGGGGTCCTGAGGCCCTGAGGCCTCGGGCAGAGATGGGGGGCCCTGGCTGGATTGGGGGGTGCAGACAGCAAGGTCAGGGTGGTCTGGTAGCCTGGGTCCACTCACAGCACGGCATTCGCCCATGGCCTCTTCTCTCTGCCCAGCCCTCTGATGCAAGGGCAGGGAGCCTGGGCCCCATGTGTTTCCCCTTAACCCTCCACCCTTGGCACCAGGCCCAGGGGTAGACAGCAACTCCCCTGAAAGCCACTGGGCTGGAGAAGAGAAGCAGCTCTCTAGAGCCAAGAGAGACATTTTTTGGGGTGAGCAGGCTGGGGTCAGGCAGAGGAGAGAGCAGTCCAGGAAGCTGGCGGGGGTAGGGGGATCTCCTGGGGCAATGGGGATGGGAAATCGTGGTTGAAGGCTGAGAGCCGAGGCCCAGAGGTGCCCCGGCCTGCTGGGCTGCTCCACAGGCTGTTATGGGAGGCAGGAAGACAGGGCATCCAGGTACCTTGCCTTGGCTTGGGTGGAATGGAGGCAGCGGTGATGATCCCGGGGCTGGGTGAGTGGGGTTGGGCCCTGGCCAGGGGTCTCAGTGATGCAGGTGCCATGGGGAGTGCCCTCTTGCCCCCAGAGACTCCAGAACAAACCACCTCCCTCGAGTTCCAGAGAGACACAGGTAGCACTTGTGGCTGGCCAAGTCTCAGACCTTCAGAGGCTGACAAGGACAAATGACATCACACGTGGGAGTGCTTCAGGAAGGTCGGCCGTCAAGTGCAAGGCCTTCCTGCTGTCCATGTTAGCTCTGCCTGACACATCTGACGCTCCACGTCCTGTGCCTGCTGGGCCCCTCGGCACCTTCAGTCCCTGTGCGTCACACCGAGCCTGTCCCTGATGGGCACCCGAGGGCTCGCCCTGACCTTCTGCTATGTCCTCCCTCAGGGCCTGGCATGTTCTGATGCAAGGACTTGCAGTGCTAACACAAAGACAGTTTCAGACAAACTGGAGGATGGGTCATCCTCTCCATGACGACCAGAGTGTCCCAGGCTTTGCACTTCTGGCGTTCTCCATCACCCAGCCTGCTGTCCTGCCCAGAAGCCTCTAGGGCAGGCAGAGTTCTGGGCCAGGATGCGTGCAGCCTCTCCTCCAGTGGGCCTGGCAGCTCCTCCACCCTCTGTCCTGTCTGGCCATCCCTAAAACAATACCAGATCTGGACCCAGCACGGTAGCCTAGCAGCTAAAGTCCTCCCCTTGCATGTGCTGCGATCCCATATGGATGCCGGTTCTAGTCCCGGCGGCCCCACTTCCCATCTAGCTCCCTGCTTGTGGCCTGGGAAAACACTGGAGGATGGGTCAAAGCCTTGGAACCCTGCACCCTGGAGGAGGCTCCAGGCTCCTGGTTTTGGATTGGCGCAGCTCCAACTGTTGCGGCCGCTTGGGGAGTGAATCAATTCCTCTGTGTCTCTCCTCTTTCTGTATATCTGACTTTCCTAAAAAATAAAATAATTTTTTTTAAAGAAGCCCAAAAACACCAAATAAAACAAAAGCAATACTAGATCTTTCTCAGCTCGCTGTGGGGGGTTGGGAGCCTCTCCAGCCTCCCAACTCTTCCTCCCTCCAGAGGAGACTGCTGGCACTGTGGCCCACACCCCAGCCATCTGTCCCCTGCCTCCATGCAGGCCTCCACGGGCCTGAGCCCTCCACACAGTGCTGGCTATTCCCCTGCCTGCTGTGCCTATTCTGGCCATTGGCAGACTTGGAGGCCTCCAGAGGGTTCTGCTGCTCACCCCTGCCCTGGTATCCCCAGGGTGCGGCTCGCCACTTCCCTCCGGGAGCCACCTTGACTTAGCCCACTAGTGGCCCCACCCAAGCCCATCCCTAGTGGCCCCTCTGCACCAGGGTAGCTTCAGCTGCTGGAACTTCGCCCACTCATGCTGTGAGGCCCTGGGCGAGCCCCAGGCTCCTGGTAGCTTTCCTAACCTATGTCCTCTTGTGACCAAAGCCCCCTTGGCCCTGCCTCTTCCTATGTTACCTGCCCCCCTCCCTGCCTGTGCCCTCTGGTATCTCTTTGCCCCAGTCCTCTGCCATCTGGAAAGCCTCTTGTGGACCTGAGCCACTTGCTTGCCCGGGGCCTCAGCCTGCTACTGGCAGGTAACTCTGATGTGAGGCCTGGGTCTTTATCTCCTTGGCCAGGTAAAGAATGCATTCGGTGCCAGCTAATGACACATGGTGGACAAGAGCAGACAGGGCAGCTCCAGGCTGAGGGTTGAGGCTGGGGGCTGGAGGGGTACTTCTGGAAAAACAGTGTGTGCCCTCAGTCCCCTAGAATGGAGAATGGAACCTTCAACCAGGGCAAACCGGGGTGTTCCCCCTACTGCCAGCGCCATTGTTGCAAGGCTGGGGACATCCCACCCTGGGAATGCCCTGGAAGGTCCCAGCCCAGCCAGCCTCAGCCTCCAGGTTCCACCCTGCTCTCAGGAAGGTGTGGCTGACTTTGCCTTGGCTGCAGCTGCAAGTGCCTGCCCAGGCTGGTCCCGGCCCCACCCCACACACCGGGCTCTCCCCTGCCCAGGCCAGACCTGGCTGACCAAGGCCAGAGGCCAGACCCGTAGCTCATGAGGGCCAGGATAGCAGGTTCTTGAGACAGAAATGTCCATGGTTTGTATCAGGGAAGAGCACATTTGTGGGAGGGTGACGTGGTGCTTGAAGCCACCCTCTTGTGCCTCCCCCCGAGAGTGACCTGTCAGGCATAGCTCGCTCAGCCACCCAGAGCTGGCAGGTGGCATTTAGCCCTCAGCTAGGCTCCCATCGCTGGCAGCCAGGAGCAGCTCCCAGCCTGCCTACAGGACCTTCAGAGGGTCAGGCCTGAAAGATGGGAGGTCATGTGGGGCATGAGACACGCAGGGAGGAGCTGAGGGGGTGCTGGGGGAGAGAGGGTGCTGGGAGTGGGGGGGTTCCCCGTGTTACCCCCTTCACCCAGAAGCCATCAGTGTTGTTTGCCCCCCACCCCCAGCAGCTGGTGGGAGGCAGCCTGGGGACTCCTGGGAGGACTGTGGAGGAGGAAATATCTGGAAATCGGCAGGGAGGCACACACGGCTCCTCTATCATCTCCTTGCATCTCCAGACGCCTTTGCCCATGTAACCACCTCATTTTATATCTGAGAACACGAGAGGCAGGACCACATCCTCCTTCATCTTGCCACAAGTTCCAGGGAAAGCATTAGGCCACAGTGTCTGTCACTGATCAGTCCCCATAGAAGCGGCCCTTTCTGAAACAGCAGTGGGCCCGGGTGTGGGCCTCGGCCAGGCCAGGGCAGGCGGGTGCTCCGGGAGCCTGGGCCCCTGGGCACCAGCTGGGCAGCTGGCTGGACAGCCCTGCAGGCCTCCCATCCCAGTTCTCCCCCTCAGCTGGCCTCCCGACTCGCCGCCATCTTGTGCCCAGAGTGTAAAGACCACAAATAAGGCCCTAATACTGTCAAGGAGGTATGGCCCTGGGAGCGGGTGGAGAGGCAGCCGGGACGATCCGGCCCAACAGATGGCGGGCGCAGGGAGGACTTTGCTCACAGAGCCAGGGAAGAGGCGGTGCCCGCCCGGCTTCCAGATGACCGGGCTGTGTGTCTCGGCGCGATGGCGCCCCCTCTCTGGGCCTCGGGTTTCTCCTCAGTAAGATAAGACTTTTACAGCCGGGTGATCTGGAGCTGAGCGAGGACGAGGGTTGCGGGGAGACCTGGAGGTGCTGGGGCAGACGGGGAACCGCCCCTGCCCGCCATGGCCAGGCTTTTGCAGCTCTGCTGCCCTCCAGTGGCGGCGCGGAGTAGCGGAACTGAGGTCTCGGGGGCGCGTCACGCCCTTGGCCCTCCTGCGCCCCGCCCCGCTTCGCATGCCTTTCTCCAGTCCTCCCCACCCTGCCGCCTCACCCAACTCCCCCCAACATAGGTGGAGCACCCGCGGCGGGTCTCAGGGCCCCTTCCTGCTGGACAGAAAGGCAGTCAGAGCGCAGGCACAAGAGCACCTGTCGTGTCGCCCATCTGCAGACATTGAGGCAGGCCCTGTAGCAAGCAAGGACACTGCTGTGCTGGTCCTTGGCCATCCAGAGGGCACTTGGCGCTGGAAAGCATGGCCCTGTCTGGCTGTTAGTTGCTCCTGGGCAAGTGATTCGGCCGTCTAAGGACCCAGAGGCCTTTGACTCCGGGCAGCAGTGGCGGCAGTAGGGGTGGGGTCTCTGCCTAGGTCTGCTGCTCACTGGGTGCCCGCTAACTGGAAGCAGGGCCTACTGGCCTCTGCAGTCTCTACCGTTCATCCCCGACTTCCTGAGTTCCCAAGTGGATGGGGAGCATAGGGTCTTGCACCCAGGCTGGGTTGCTGCTGGCCACTCTGGAAGCCCCTGGAGGCCAGGCTGGGAGGCAGCAGGCAGCCTGCGTGTGCGCGTGGATGTGTGCGAGAGGAGCCTGGGTGCGTCACTGTCGCTGCCGCCTGACTCATGGGAACATCCGGCAGGAAGGGAAGGGAGCCCGGGCTGGCATTTGCAAGTGGCCTGCACTGTGGGGCCCAGGGTGTGCACTGAGGGTGGCGGGAGGAAAGGGCAGCTGCCAGGGGGAGGGAAACTGAGTCCTGGTCAGCCGGGGATGCAGGAGACACCGGGGTTTCTGACTAAGGCCGATAGGGCCCAGGCCCTCCTGCAGCGCCCTCGGGCCTTGGACCTCTGGGGGTCAGCTGTGGGGTAGTGGTGGGGGCTGCCAGGCTCAGGGGTGGGAGCAAGAGCTTTCCTGAGCAGTGCTGGGACTGGCGAGGGGCCAGTAGGGCCAGGGAGGGTGCAGGATGAGGGAGGAGGGTGGTGATGGATGGCGCTGTCGGGGTGGGGAGGGGTCCTGGAGCATGGCCTGGCTCACCAGCATCAGCACTAGGGATACGAGGGCCTGGATACCCCAAAGGCAGGACCTCCTGTGAGAGCTGGACTTGAGATGCAAAGAGGTCAGGGTTCAAACTAAAGGATGAGGAATGGATGCTGTCACTCTGGGCATGTGGTGGCCTGGGAGCGGTGGGGGTCTGAGCTGCTGGGTCCCTCCGCGTCACAGCAGCTGATGGGGCAGTCAGTGGGAGGCATCTTGGAGGTGGGGCCCTGGAACCTCAGTGCTTGCCAGGCTCCTCAAGGGATAGACATGGCCCACACAATTGCCCACCTGCACGCAAGCCCGGGTTTGGCAGTCCTTCAGAGCTTAGGGCCCCCCGAGGGGTGGGGAGGCAGTGTCTGTGTGCCTGGGCCTCCTGGGTGGGCTCAATTCACCAGGGAGTCTGACCTTGCTGGTCTGTCTGGGGCAGGGCCGGGTGAGGCACTGGGCAGGGCCAGCTGCTGCCTGGTCCTCACCCTGTGTGAGTGGCGGGTGGGGGTGGCGGCTGCGTCGTTCCTGGCTGGGAGCCCAGAGGAGTCTTTTGTAATCACAACATGATCTCGTGTGCTGAGCAGTGCTGCCGGCTGGGAGAGGCCGGCAGAGGCCTGGCTCCCGTGGCTCTGTAGCTCCAGCGTCCCTCTTGCTTCTCTCCTGCTCTGGCTCCCCCAGGGCTGCTCTGGAATTCTCTCGGTGCCCACTGGTGCCATGCACCCAGCTGTGAGTGGCACCTTGCCTTTGGTGGCGGGGGGGTTGGGAGGGGGGACTTCTTAGGGCTGGGAGGAGGCCGGGACCTGAGGCAGCTTCACTCTGGGGGCAGCTGGGGACAGCTGGGCCTGGGAGGAAGAGGGCTGGACCGGGCTGGCCAAGGCCTGGGGAGGCACCACAGCGCAGACCCTGCAGTTCAACCAGGCAGACCTGGGATCCCAGGCCGGGCCTGCCAGCTGAGCGCTCTCCTGCCCTGGCGGCTCAAGCCTCCCAGCCTCCGGATGCTGGGCCCATGGGGAGGCTGGGCCCAGGCCTGGTGAGCGAAGGGACAGGAGAGAGAGCCCAAGATGGAGCCGAGGCCCTCCCCGCCTACTTCTGAATACAGGAGCCAAACACCTCCCTCCTTGACCACACGAATCCTCTGGCAGCTTCCCAGCCATGGCAGGTTCAGCAGCCAGAGCCATTTATATCTCCCATGCAGGCTGTGGTGCTCCCTGGGGAGCCGGGGGAGGGGCAGCCCACTGACCTGGGTGTTGGGGTCCCATTTGAGGCACCCACATGGAGGCAGACAGGCCCTACAGAAAGCCAAGTTGTACTCTCCTTTCTTCCCGAGGACCTCATGGGGTTGTGGGGGGTAGTGGAGTTTGTTTCTTGGCTGGGTGGCTGTGAAGGTGAGGCAGCGGCCTGTGTCTCCTGCCCTCCGCAGGGGCCTCCCAGAGCTGCGCCCCTGACCAGCAGGCCCGAGGAGAAGGATGCTGAGCTGGACCGGAGGATAATCGCCCTGCGTAAGAAGAACCAGGCCCTGCTCCGCAGGTACCAGGTGAGTAAGCCGCAGGGCCTGATGCCTCAAGGGTGCCTGCCTTGCCGTCTGTGACTCCAGGCCTGGGGCTGGCATGAGGGTGAGCTGGAGGTAGGCCCCCTGTATTCCTGGGCAACCTGGGTGGTGGGTGGGGAGCCCTGACCTGTGTTGACCCTGGGCCCTCCACTAGGAGATCCAGGAAGATCGTCGGCAGGCGGAGCAGGGGGGCATGGCTGTGACCACACCAGGGTTGCTCTGGCCCGATGGCCTCAGTGTAACCATCAGCCAGGTTCCTGGTGTAAGCCTTCCCCAGGGAGACAATATGGGGGGCAGGTGGGGAGGCCCAGCTGCCATGGGAGGGGTGCCCCTCTTTGCCCCTTCCCTACTGTGCTCCCAACCTCATGCCCCCGGGGCCACTGCTACTGATACATGAAGGCCCTCAGCCCTCAAGCCCTGGCTGCTCTGACACCCCACACTCCACCGCCTTCAAAACCCTGCAAGAAGTGGGAGAGTTGGGGCAGAGGCCAGGTGCGGCGTCTGGGAGACAAAGCCTCAGTGTCTGAGTGATCGCCCCTCCCGCTCAGAGCTGACGCTTGGCTGCTGTGGCATCTGGGGGTGGGGGGTTGGCTCCCAGGGCAGCCCTGGGATGTGAACACCCAAGGGGGTCAGCATCCCACGGGCATTCCAGGGAGGGTCGGGCTGAAACCTGGGCCTGGGGACACCACCAGAGGGCTCTCACTTGGGTCCTGTCTGGAGTTGCCCATGTGGCCCGAGGGCACAGGCCCCTCGTCCTGCAGGAGAAGCGGGTGGTCAGCAGGAACTGGGCCAGGAGCCCCCTGGGACCCGAAGCAGCCAGGGAGATGCTGGACGTTGAAGACCTGGACAGCTGCACGGGTGCCTTCTGCCTGGGGGAGCGGGTGGATCTGGCTGTGACCATGGAAAACAAAGCCGAGGTGAGCCAGGGGAGAACGGGGTGGGGGAAGCCTAGGTGCCCGTCGGAGGAATCTTCCTTCCTGGCTTCGGCCCCACTGTCTGTGGTCACTTCCCCCAGGCCAAAAGGATCGTAAGTGAGAAGCCCAGCAGAACCCAGCCACCGCAGGGGGCGGACGGGTCACCTGGAGGCGGTGGAGGCACTGGAGGCGGTGGAGGCCGGAGCTCCCGGGTGCAAACGGCTCTGAGCTCGGATGCTGCCCAGAAGGTGTATCTGAGTGCGCACGAAGAGGATGTGACTGTGGCTCCCCGCCTGCAGGGGGCAGAGAGACCCCACCACATGCGTCTCCCTTGTGTAGGCGCCCAGCCCAGGCAGCACCTACAGGAATCCTCACACCTCCTACCTGTCTCTGGCCACGTGGGCGTGGGCTGGGCAGTGAGAGACAGCTGAGGCCGGAGATGTGACCCTGCCCCATGCTCTGACTTAGCCCTGCAGGTGGTAGCCTGGGGGAGGTGAGCAGGTGGGTGGGACTGGCCATGTGCCAGGTGTGGCCTCTAGGTGGCAGCAGCCTCTAGTCCTTGCTCTGCGGCTGGGTGACTCTCCCACCCCGGCGAGTCTGCACACCACTGGTCACAAGCTGGTGGATTAGTCCCACTGCCATTCCCAGTTTACAGAGGAGAAAAGGATGCACAGAGAGGTCTAGCTTCCTTCCCAAACACACAGTTGAAACCATGCCTGCAGTGGACACAGCCTGTTAGAGAATGGCTAGATCTCATTTGTAGATGGGACACAGAAGAGCTTGAGAGAGGAAGGGTTAGTGGAGTCTCCGGCGGTCCCGCTTTCTGCCTGCCCCCTCGAATGTTCTGCTTGTCTTCTCCCTGAAGGGTGCACGGGAAGCCCGGAGTCCAGTCCCGCCACAGCCGGTCCGGGCACCCCCGGAGGTGGGCTGGGACTATGCTCAATGGAAGCAGGAACGGGAGCAGACGGACCTGGCCCGTGTGGCCCGGCACAGAGACGCACAGGGTGACTGGCGCCGCCCGTGGGACATGGACAAGGCCAAGCCCACGTGGGTGGCAGGGCTGGGCGGCTCACCTGCTGCCATGCATGTGGGTCTGGGGTCGGGCTGGAGGTACCCTCCCCAGGATGGACAGGGCCTGCCGCTTGTGCCACCTGGACAGGCTTTGGGCTTAGGGTTCTGTGCGGACCCTGAGTCCCCCAAGTCTCGTACTGCCCTCTGAGCTGGGGCTGGGCTGGGGGAGGGAGGTGGTGTCCAGTCGCACCTGCAGCCTGACTCCCTCCTCTGCCCATGCAGGCTCCAGGATGATGGCAGTAGGTCCTGGGAAGAGGGCCCGGCCAGGGCAGGCAGCAGAAGGGGTGAGTCAGTGCCCCTCATTCCCCTCTTTCTGAGCTTTCTTGCGTCCAACCTCTTGTGCAATCTCCTCCGTCTGTCTTTCCCACTTATTTTCAGAGCTCAGAGGAGGCACAGAACCCTCCTCCCACCCTGCTCCCCCTCACGCCTTCAAGCCCACCAGACAGTGTGAGGAGGTCCAAGGGCAGACTGCGCTATGGGGCCCCTGGGGTGAGGCGCTGCTTCCCAACAGGGAAAGGAGTCTAGGGGCCCCACCTCTGAGCATAGATTCCGCTACCCAGCCAGAGAATGGCCAAGCCAGCCCAGGAGTCACCAGCAAACCCACGACTGGGCCAAGGGCCGCTGTCTCCTGGAGCAGGAAGACTGTGTTTCCACCTTGGGCTCCTTGCCACAACACCCTGTCCCTGCCTCCATAATCCCCTTTAGGTGCTAGAAGCCATCGGAAGCCACAGCCCCCGTCACTGTTCACTGATGGAAAAGGTGAGCTGGGAGAGGGGGAGGGACAGGAGGCTGTTGCATGATGTGTCAGTCCTATGCTCAGGTCCTTTTCCCTCCTTGGATGTGTGGACCATCTCTTGCAGGTCGGGGTGGGCAGCCTGGCAGGCCTTCGGTGGCACCAGCCACAGGCAGCAAAGCCCGGGGAAAGGAGCGGCTGACCGGCAGGGCCCGAAGGTAATGAGGGACATGGTCAAGGCCGGTATCTGGATGTCCTGGTTTCCTGGACTAGCACAGATCCAGGTGCCCACTCGGTCCCTGGGCCCCTGCCTCTGGGCTGTCTGCTGCTGCCTGGCTCAAGTTAATGAGATGCTGGGCGAGGCCAGCAGCAGAGGCAGCCGCAGCAGCAGTGTGAGCTGGTGCCCAGGGAGGCTGGCGGTAATTACCGGCGTCTACCTTCCCCTGGGAAGTGAGGTGCGCCTTTCCCAGGCAGTGCAGGCAGGCAGGGACACGTCTAGAGTCCCCCCCAGAGCTCTAGGTGCTGCAGGCCTTGCCGTAAACAGCAGCTGGGGACCTGGGAGGGGGCTGGGGACAGAGGTGTTCAGAGGAGATGGTGGGGTTAGGGTTCAGTGGGGGATCAAGGTCAGGCTAGGAAGGACAGATTCTGGTCTCATGCTGGCCTGGGTCCCATTCTGAGCCCCTCAGACGTCAGCTTTTCCCTGGGGGCTAGGCGTTATAGAGGGGGTGATGTGAGGGAGACAGGGGCTGCATGTGCTGTCTCACAGGTGGGATTCAAAGGAAGACACAGAGGAGCGGGAGAACCAGGAGGTAGGTCCTGGGGCTTCCACACAATGGGTGACAGGTGGTGGGGGACCCAAGCCCTGAATTTGTCAGGGGGCTGAGCTATTCTCCCATTTCAGGAGAGCCAGAGTGCCAGGAAGGCTGTCAGTGTGGACCAACCTGCAGACAAGCAGAGCCGGGTGCAGCCAGGCAGGCTGGGGAACGCTCCAGCCAGCAGCCCAGTGCCAGTACCTCCTGAGGGGCCGGAAGAGAAGTCAGGAGCTCTGGCAACCAGTCCTGCCCCTGGCTCTCCACATTCGGCTGACTTGGTTCCCCTAGACCTGTCTCGAGGAGCGCCTAATAGCCCTGGGCCTGGGGAGAGCCCGTGCATGCTCAGCCCCGGGCCTGTGATCCAGGAGAGTTCTGCAGCCCAGCCCGATGGTTCCCAGCAGCTCCCGGGGTGGACTGAACACTACCAGACTGAGCTGGAGGGCCACGCATGCTCTGAGCCTCAGAAAGGAGCAGGCCCCCTGGGACCCAGAGAGGGCAGGTCTGGCAAGGCCCGGGCCCAGCAGACCCTGGTCCTAAGGAGCAGACCTCCCAGAGGGACTGGCCAGAGAGGGAGAGGTGCAGGAGACAGGGGCAGGAAAGGGGCCCCCGGCCCTGCAGGAAGATGCTGAGCAGAGCAGCTGGGAGCTGGGGGCCGGGTCAGGGAGAGGAGTGCGCAGTGTTGCCTGTGGCCTGTGCCCCATCTGGCTGGGAAGGGCTGGCACAGTGATAATGTGAGGGCAAGGGACTGCTCCCTGGTGGGCAGGTGAGCTGGATCTTGGCATCTGAGGCTGGTGAGCCCTGAGCTGGGGCTACCACTGCCCAGGCCATGAGCCTTCTTCACTGTAGTGCCAGCCTGGCTGGGTAGCACCCACCACCTGGCTCTGCTTCTCAAGTTGTCCTCCAAGGCCTGGTTTCCCTCTCCAGCTCAGGCTTTGGGGCCACAGTCCCAGTTCAGCACGAGACCTCAGGTCAGCGTAGCTACCCACCCAGAGCCTTTTCCGACACTCCTGCCATGCAGCTGGGTGACTGACAGTCCCAGGCCGACAGGATGGCCAGGCCAGCAGAATCATGGCCATCACTTGCTAGCCTCCTGCCTCTGGCTGGGGCCCAGAGAGAGGACATAGCTGGCGGGGCCTGGGATAGGAACAGAGGAGTTCGGGCTTTCCTGTAAAAAGGAGGGAATCTCAGGGTAGCCTTCTGTCTGATATGGGGTGGTGGGGTCGGCTGGGAGGGGACAAGCTCCTGTTACCAACAGCGTGGTGTCATCTCACGAACCCTGGATGGAGATGAGGGCCTGGCTCTTGCAGCGTGGGGTCATTTCCTGCCCTCTAGACTTCCTCTTTGCCACCCCTCCCCCACAGGGGCCTTGCAAGAAGGAAAGACTCGGAGAAACAAAGCAGCTCACTAGATAAACAGTGACTCCAACTAAGGCCCCATCACAAGTTGCCTTTCCCACGTGGCCTCTGTTCCCGCCCCTCCCCGGAGGCCCACGTCTGAATTACCCAGACTCTGCACAAGCTGTGGCTTCTTCTCAATTCCACCAGCATTTCCTGCGCACCCACTGCCAGCACTGCAGCTGGTGGGCGACGGTAGTGACTTATAGGGGGAGGGAAGGGACCCAGTCATCCAGCAGCTCTAGGCTGCACAGCAGACGCTGCTCTTGGCCCATGGAGGGTCTGGACCCTCAGAGCGTGGCCTCCGTATACAGTCCTAGTTTGGGCTGCTTCACCCTGGCTGTCAGTCTCCCCTCCCCAGTCAGCCTCATGGATTGTGGCCACGTGGGGAGGGCGCATGTCTTCAGCAGCTTGCCCTGGAATGCCGTGGGTAATGTGGGTTCTGATTCAGCCTAGGGAGTGCTGAGAGCCAGTGTTTCCAGTAGGCTCAGGTGAGGCCCATGCTGCTGGGCCACACTTTTGATTGGTAAGGGCTGAGACCAGGCCAATGCTAGGGCAGCTTGCTGGAGTCTCAGCAGTGCTCCTTCTGTGGGGTGTGGGCTTCAAGCAGGCTGGAAAGCTGAGGCTCCCAGCAGGGATAGGGAGTAGGGAGGTAGGGGGGGCGCCAGCCTGCCAAGGGCACTGTGTGGGCGCTGGTGGGGAATGGAGCATGGTGAGGAGGGTGGAAGAGGTCAGTGTGAGCTTGGTTAGAGGAATTTTGGAAAAGCACAGAAACGCTCCCGTGCATCTGAGACCTGCCCAGGCTGGGATGAAAACTCAAGGCTCAAGTTTTCCTCTTGCCTTCCAGTTACAAGTGTGGGGCTTTGGAACGTAGCCGGGGCCTGAGCCCGATGATGATGATAATGAAAGATGGGACTGGGTTAGAGCAAAGGATGGGGTTCAGCAGGGGCAGAGCCCTCTCATTCGGGAGTCTCCAAAGAGGCTGAGCTGGAGAATGGAACCCTGAGCTTCACAATCTGCTCCCAAAGCCCCGAGCTGGAGCTTACAGGGCAGACTCCAGACACGTGTGACCGCAGGATAGGGATGGAGAAAAGGGGCGAGGCTCGGGTCCAGCCCTCACAAAGGGACCAGAGCAGTGTGCCCCAGGGAGAAGGGCTGTGGGGAAACCAGGCTTCCCTCAGTACAGTGACATCTGGAAGGACTTAAGGATGTCACAGGGAATGCAAGGGTTTGCAGAGAATGGAGAGTACAGTGCAGGCAAGTGACACAGAGCTACTGATGGAAAGGCAGGCTCAGCTGTGAAGAGCAGGAGCTATGGTGGGTGTCCCTCAGGCCCCTGCAGGCTGCGGCTCTAGGACACAAGGCGAAGAGGCAAGTGTTACTAGACCCATCCCTCCCTGTGCCAGACCTCACGGCTGTTGGGGAGCTGGTTCCATCACCTCTGTGCTCCTGGGTCTAAAGGTCAGGCTGAGAGCCTACCTTCCAATTGGATGCCTCTCTCCTTTCTGTTTTTCAAAGACGGGAGGACTTCACACAGCCGGCAGGGACCCAGGCCTGAGACTGGAGGGCAGGCTGGGCAGAGGCTCCTGTGCCAAAGCCATCTCACCCTGGCAGCAGAAGGTACAGCCGAGCAGTTTACAGAAGGGCGAGCAGTGGGGTGGGACAGCACAAGTCCAGGCACTGCAAGGGACAATTATCTGCAAAAACACAGCCCCCATGCTGTAGGCACTGCCACCCGCAGCCTGGCATTTGGAAGGTATTCAGTGAATACTGTGGAATAAATCAAGTAGCTGTTTGGTGTGACCTTTGTCTGCTATGTTTTCTAACTTTCCCTTTTTTCTCTGGCTTCATCTTCAACTGGTGTTTGCACTCTCTTAGGGAAAGGGAGGGCTGCCTGGGTACTGGTGACTCAGTCCTTTGTGGGCAAGTGTGCCCTGGGTTCCCAGGGAGTGTTCTCTATCCTCAGTGCCTGGCCTGCCTACCTGCATGTTGCACACAGCCTCTGCCAGCCACCTGTGCTCCTCTGGCCTTCTGCCCATATTGGTTGCCCCTTCACACCAGGGCTTCCTTGTTCTCCCCGCATTTCCAATGTGAGTTTGCTCCAAGCCTCCTGAGCCGGATTCTGGCCACCCACAGGCGCCACATGCCCACATGTTCTTAGGGCCAAGGGAGAGGCACTGGGGCTTCTTGGAAGCAGGGAACCCGGAGCCACCCACCAAAGCACCGATCTGGATGATTTGACCACTAGTCAGTTCCAACCCTGACCTTGGTCTTGTAGACACAAACAACAGTAAAAGAAGCCACTAGCTCCCCATGAAGAACAAAGGAAGTGGCCAAACTCCCAAGTGTCTGTATCTTCTAAATTGGGAGTAGGGATTGTCCAGGGAATGGGAGAAACTAGAGATAATATTTTACTTCGGAGTCCCTTATCAGTGTGCATAGGCTGTGCAAGGCCAGTCAGAGTGCTTCTGAGAGAGGGCTGACCTGGGGGCCCAGAGTCCCCCAGCCCCTCCCCAGACGGAGAGACTGTTCAGGCGGGCGGGGGAGGGAGTGCAAGCAGCAGCAGAGAGGACTGGAGCCTGCTTGATCTCCCTGTGTCTGCCGGGACCCACGTCACTGCCTCTCATTAGGCATCCACTTGACGCCGGGAAGTGAGACAGCGCAGACCTGGCACCGGACAGAACAAACGTGGCACCCACCACTCCTTTTAAGGACTGGCTGGAGAAGCAGCAGGCCCCGGGGCGGGAGGTGAGGCAAGCACAACAGTACCTCGGCCACCGGGCGGGGGGAGGCGGACAGGCTCTTGGCGCCTGGGCCTCCTCCCTAACAAGCTCTCCGGGACAGGTCCTTCTGCAGCTGTCAGAGCTAATGGACGATGAGGCGTTCTGCAAACTCTGGGGACATAGCGCTTCCTCCTCCAGCATGGCCACTGGCTTCAGGCAAGAGAAAAGGGGCCACAAATTGCCTTGATAACTATCTGTTAAAACAGAAATATCCCAACCTTATGTTCCAGATCTGAGGGACAGGCAGGCCCAATGTCCCTCAGCTATTAGTAAGCATGCCCTTGGCCATGGGGAGGCCTGGGGAAGGCAAAATGACAGGCTCCACTCTCTGAAGGACTCATTGCATGGTCTGGTGGGGCTTGAGGGACCTTGGTCTGGACAAGTTCCAAGACAATGCCAGAGGCTGCTGGGCAGGGCCCTGGTGGTATCCTGGGCGTGGCCCCTTGTTCACACTGCCTTCCAGGTGTCATGTGTCCCAGTGGGGCAGCAGAAGGGAAGGGGAGATGTTTAGGCTGTAGTACTTGGTATGTGCACACTGAGCTTTTATACCCCAGGTCTCAGGGCCTGTTCCCACCTACTGTCTCATGAATTCCCACTTGGTTCTTGGTTGGCAGAAAAGAGAGGTCAAGAGCTCTAACCCACACCCTCGCTGAGTTGCCAGATTTCCTATCTCCCAGCTGGGTGGTCCCGCCTAAGAACACACTGCCTCCCCAGCTCAGAGATCGGCTGCTGGGGCTCTCAGCATTGCCTGCACTATGGGCAGAGTGGAATGAGGCAGCTGGCCTCCAGGACCAGCGGGGGAAGTGGCTCCCAACCAATAGGCAGCAGAGAATGGTTTGCTTAGAAGGGAGTTCTTGGTCATCAAGCCAGTTGTTTTCTTTCGACAAGCTGGTCTGGGTGGGGAACTTGTGAGATTCACTTGGCATATGAAACTGGTAGTTCTTCCATTTGTCACTGTGGTTTATGGGAAACAAGCCTTAGGATATTAGTTGAGAATGGTACTGTTGTTTAATGGAGAAGCTAGTTCCAAAGCAGATGGTGAAGATAAGGAAATAGGCCAATGTAAGGAACACTTTGCGTGGGCATGACTCTAAGTCCTTGGGGCCAAGAACCGTGTGGTAATCCTCTGGTCCCTTACGTAAGGAACGCTGATGGGATCCAATGGGCCCAGAGAGACCAGGCTGGTCCCTGACCTATGGTCCCTGACAAAAGAAGAAGGCAAGCCCGAATCCCCAGGCTTGGAAATAGGGACATAGAGGCCAGAGGCTGCAGCGGTATCCCCACACCATCCACCCCTTGAAATCCACTCTAGGCTGTGGATACAGGACACACCTGAGGATTATGTTGGGGACCCCCAATGACAAGGTGCTTGGTCAGGTGACCCCCACACTGGCAGAACCCTGGCTGTGTGTCGCTGGCCATGAATAAGGAGCCAAACTGGGCAGGCCATCCCTCTCCTCTAGTTGCAGAATCCTGATCCCAGAAATATCCTGCATTCTTGCAGGCCAGAGAGGGGAGGAGCTGACCATCATTTTTCCTCTGAAAGACCTGTTAGCCTTGAAGCAAGCCAAGGCAGGGGGCGGGCCAGCCGTTAGGCTCTCCTTAGAGGAACAGGTACAAACAAGGTACTCTCTGTTTTAGCATTTCAAAATAGCTCAGAAACACTCGGAGTGCCCTAGGGAAGCTGCTCACTCTCACCTGCCCACCCTGAGGAGAGCCCTGAGGGAAGAGAAGCACCTGCTCACTCCTCTGCAGGGGCAAGAGGCAGTACCTGCACGACCTCAGGCTAAAGGGCTCCCTGGTTCCCCCAACGCTCCAAATTCTCACTTCCAAAGGAAGAAGTCCCTTTCTTTAAATTCAGGCACAGTTTCTTCCAGCGCATGTGGGTACCTCGGAAGAGTCCCCAAGTAAAGCACACTAAGAGCCCACCTCGCCCCCTTCACCCAGCCCTCCCTGGGACTCCCCAGTCAGCGGCTCCTGCAGACTGTGCCCAACACCTGTACTCAACTGCTGCCCAGCGCTCCCTTCTCCTCAGCCTTCCCAAGCCCTCACACAGAAAGCCATTGTGTAGGCTCAGGAGGGAAAGAAAGGCAGGGCGGGATTTTTCCTTGCCTCCCTGCTGACTACAAGGTGAGAGAAAAGCACAGCCACCACCCCCTAACAGCTCTGGGCAAGTGCAGGCCTCAGGGGGCCCCAGCAACACCGGCTTCTCACTCCAGACTTGCACTGGGCAGCATTGTTTAATAATGAGTGAGCTTCATGGCTTGCTGCGTATTTGGCAGCACAACAAATCCTTCATATTTGGTGCTTTTTCATCCACATGTCATTTTTGTTTGTTCCGAGAGGGGAGAAGGCCTCACCTTTAAAGCGACCCATGCCTCTCACCGACATGGCTCCCTCACCTTCCTCTACCGCAGACCAAGTTTTGGCCAAGCACCGAGTTAGTCCTTACCACAGGGGCCGGTGGTCTAGAGGTGAGGTTGTGGTGTGACGGGGTGGCCCTCGGCCAGCTCACTGCTTGCCGTCAATCTTAAGGTTCAGGCTGCCGGGGCCCTCTGCTCCCTCAGCCTTCTTCAGGCTGCTGAGCTAGAGAGCATTGCTCTCCTAGCCTCACGACTGCTTTCCAGGGAGGGTGGGCTCTGCTGCCCCACACTCATCAATCCACTGCAGCCACAGGGCAAGGCCGACAGCTGGCCGATTGTTTTTTCCTGGGAAACCGATTCCTCCGCACACTACCCATCCGTCACATGGCAGACCACTTAACCCCACCAGCCACTGTTCTTTCCCACTGCATGGGCGCACATGGCAGGAGGGACCATCAAGCTTACACGGCTTAGGCAGCGTTCTTAGAATGTATTTTTGTTCACCTGAAAAATAAAACTTTTAAAAAATATACAGGACTTTTTGAGTACAGGTGTGTCTCGAATGGCTGAGTTATAAATAATTGTCTCTGGTTATGTTCACGGCTAGGGCTGGAGCCAAAGTCCCGATCCCAGCGAAGGCTTCAGGGAGAGCGGAGGTCAGCAGCTGGCTCTGCGAGCGATCGCCGACAGGCTGGCCTCTCTGGTCCATCCCCAGGCAGGTTTCAACAGTCCAGAAAGCAGGGATCAGGAAGGGGACAGGGGACTGGACACCCAGGTGTCTTCCTGTGAGTTCAAACGATTCTTGGAATAAGAGATCAATTTACAAATTATTAAAATATAGGACTAAAAATTCACACAGTAAATATATAAATTACAGCTATTATTGAAGTTATAAAGTGGCATTTTGCAGTTCTCTCTCTAGTCTTCCCCCAACCCCCCAAAAAATGTATGCAAAAGGTCTTTCAGTTTCCTAAAGGCTGAAGTCTGGGTCAGCTGCTAAGAAATGTCCTCTTGGCCAGAGAGCTTGGGGGTGCTGCTACAGCAAGCTGGGGGGCTGGAGCAGCTCAGCTCTGCTGCTGTGCCCACCACAGGACACGGCTCCAAGTGAGTCTGTTACCCTGCAGCCCGGCTCAGAGCTGCAGTGCGCCAGAAGGCTGCAAAGACAAGCTGTTTCAGGACTCAAGGTGGGTCTGGTTGTCGTCTTAAAAAAAAAAAAACAAGAAAAAAGTGCTTCATTTTCCAAAAAGGAAACACAAAAGGGCCTCATATCTTGTCACTACCTGATGGCAAGAGGAAGTGGAATCTAAGGAGCGCAGTCGCTGCCCCAACGCTGTTGTCTGTATGCCATTTTCTGGTGCAGCTGTAGGCAGCACTGACAAGCCCGCTTCCCCTTCCCACGGCAGGGTTAGCAAGACACGGATGCCAGGCCTGTCGGCCAGCCTCTTGCCCTTCTGTCCTGGAACCACCAGAGAAACCAACCAGAGTTCTCACTTCCAGATCTTGCTCCCTTCTCCATGGAAGGGCCATTTTTTTTTTTTTTTTTTTTATCACCACAGGTTCAGGAAATGGGGAAAACCAAGGTGAATTAAAAGCTTGAGTGGAGCAGGGTGCAATGTTTGGGGGGAGGGGTAAGGGGAGGACAAAATCTAGAAAAAGAGAAGATCTTAAGGAGCAGGGCGGGGGAGGGGGAAATGCCATGCTTGCCAGCCACTCTTAGAAAAAACACCTGCCCTTGTGTGATCGGAGGGCAGCTATGGAAGCTGGCTGTCCGGCTGGTCCCTTCCTTTCTCCCTGGTCCTTGGCCAGACACTTGAGGCTGCAACAGAAAGCCACTTTGGTTGTGGATGCTGGGACGGGAAGACAGTGGTGGTATCAGTGCACTCGCCAGGGTCCCTAAGCTGCTTTTACTTCTAAGGCTGTCTGCCGGCCAGTCAACAGCGTGCCATGACTCCCCACTTCTGCCAAGTTGGAAACCTCTCTCTCTCTGAAAAGAAGGGGGAGGCGGTGAGGAAACAAAGCCGGGTCCTGGCCCTTCTGGCTAGGTGTGCTTTGGGAGGGGGTGGGCACCCACAGCCCTTGTTTGCTGCCATCAGTCACCCAGGGTTGGGGAGGGTTCAGGGACTTGCTGCGGCTACAGCTTGAGCTGCACACGTCCACAACTCTAAGTAGAGGGATCTCTAGATTCAGTGCATCTCTGGCTTGTGTGACTAGGTTGCCGTACCTGAGCTCCACTACTTTTTGATGCCCTCCTCTTGGGGCGAGAGCTTCCACTTATTAAAAAATTAAAACAGAAGGAAAAAAAAAAAAAGCGAGCCCAACAAGCTGTCTCCTTCCCCGGCTGGGGAGCCGAGGCAGCCCTGCAGGAGCACACCAGAGCAGGAGGTGCTGAAGAAGGGTTCCGTGGCTGGCTGCGGATCTCCAGCACCCCTCACCCCAAACCCCCTGTTGGCTCAGGGTCCTGGTGCGGAACTGTCCTCAGAAAGACCACACAGCCCGAGTCCCTGGTGAATCGCGGTCCCTCGGCTGCTTACGATCGGGCTGCAGGCCACAGGGTGAGCGGGTGGGCTTCCAGGGAAGTGGGAGCCATACCGCCCCCCGGGTTCCCCGTCCGTCCACCAAGTCCAGCCTCCAGGCTTGGAGAAAGGGTCGTTCCCCGCCGACTCCCCCCAACCTCCCCAGCGCAGAAGGGGGTTCAACGACTCCCAGGCACCGCCGCTGCCTCCTCTTCCTCCTCGTCCTGCCCCCGCGGCCGCTCGAGTGGCGGGGCCGAGGGACCGCGTGCAGGGGGCTCCGGAGGCGCGGGCTGCGCCGCCTGCAGCGGGGGCGCGTCGCGCGGCGCCTCGCGGCGGGACGATCGGGTGGTGGTGTTGGGCCCCGCCGCCGCCCCCGAAGTCCCCGACGGGCCGGTGGCGTTGGAGCCGCCGGGGGGCGGGCCGGAGGCTCCGCCCGAGGTCCCGGCGCCCACCGGCTGCCAGATGAGGCTGTAGTAGACGGCGAGGACGATGGCGGCCAGTGACACGGAGAGCACGTAGGCGAACACGGTGGCGAGCCGGACCCACTTCTTGTTGGTCTTGGCCGCCATCTTCGCCTTCTTGTCCCCGGTGTAGGTGGCCGGCTTGCCCCGCTCGGCCGGGGCCGAGTCGCGCTCCTTCATGGGGGGGCCCCGGCCTTTGCCCCGGTGCTCCACGGCCCCGGCTGGAGGGGGGCCTGGCGGCCCTGCGCGGACTGGACAGGGGCGGCCCGGCGCCCTCGGCTCCCGGCGGCTCGGGCGCTCCGCCGCTGCCGCTCCTCACGCCGCCCGCCCGCCGCCCGCCACCGCGTCGCTGCGGCCGCCGCCGGGGCCTGGGCCAGTCACCGCCGCCAGCGCCTCCGCCGCCGCCGCCCCGTCAGCTGCTTCCCCGCCGCCGCCACGGCCCAGGCTGCCACGGCCGCCCGGCTCCGCGTCCCCATCCGCCGCCGCCAGCGCCGCCTGCTCGGCCGCCGGCCGCCGGGTCTCCAGTGGCCGCGCGGACCGCGAGCTGCCGCCGCCGGCTCCCCCGCCTCGCGCGCCGGCCACCGGGGCGGGGAGCGGCGCCGCTGGGGCTGCCTCTTAAAAGGGCGACGCCGAGGCCCGGAAGTGCCGCGCGGGGAGGCGGGCTGCGGCCCGGGCGCCGCCAGCCCGCGGGGGACGCCCCGTTCCAGGCACCGTGACGGGAGGCGGGCTCTTAAAAGGGCGACGCCGCCGCGGCCCCGTGCCGGCTGGCGCGACGCGGACCGGCGCCCCGGGCGCTTCTTTAAAAGGGGGAACTGCGTAGAGCGGGGCGGAGTGCGGAGCGGGAACGGGGCGGGGAGGCGCGGAGCGCGCGGGCGGAGCGCGGAGCTGTCAACGCGGGCGCCTCCCGGCTCCGCCCCGGGCTCCCCAGTGACAGGTGCTACGGCAGTCCGGTCTCGGCCATCCCCGCGCCCACCTTCTGCCCTGGCCTCAGTTTACCCGTGTGTGTGTACGCGCGCGTGCACGGAGCAGGGGTGTGGTGATAACTCGTTGTCTCGGTTCGCGCCCGGTTCTATTGCACCGCCGTCCTGTCACACCTGAGGAGTCCAGTGCACATCCCGGGGAGGTAGCCCGCTGAGCCCTCGGCTGGCCAAACTCTTTTTCTCGCTCTCCAGGAGTGGAGCCCCAGTTCTGCTGGAACTTCCCCCATTGCCTCGTCCACTTGGCACTCCGGAGTCGGGCTGCCGGAGACGGCCGGATCCTCTGGGACAGAGCCACAGGCTGAGCCGCTCTACGAGCTTACCTGCCACCGTGAGCCCCAAGGTCCCCACGACCCGCGACCCGCTTTTTGATCTTCCACTCCCTAAGTTTGGCCTTGATTTCCCCCCTCTCCCCCTCTTCCACACACACATTCTACAGCCGAGTTCAGCGCCCAGGGCATTTCCCCTCAGCATCTTTTGGTGCCTCCAGTCCCGGGGCTGCGTTGGGGGGTGCCCCATCTTCACCTGAAGTCTCCCGCTCTAGTTCCGCAGCCAGGTTTGGGCCCATTCTTTGGGTTTCCTGCGCGTTGACCATCTCTGCACGCTGGGCCACTCAACACCCCCTTTTGCTGAGCTCTCACCCTCTCCTTCCCCCATCCCTCCTGTTCCTCCCCCCTTCCTTTTCTAGGAGGCTTTCCAGAAATGCTGGTTCCCTCCTCCTTGGATCGTACTTCCCGTGTTCCCACAGTGGGTAAGGGGACTGCCTGGATGCCTACAGGAGTGGCATCCTGTGGATGGGCAGGCCAGAGTCTGAGGGCATCTGGGGGTGAGTCCTCCCGGTCCCCAGTCAGTGGCAGCCTGCCCAGGCCTTCTGAGTGACAGGCAGACGGACATTCCTCCTCCAACGACTTTTGCCTTTCAGACCACTCCCCTAGGAGGAGGCCCCCCTCCTCCCAGCCCTTACACACATTCTCCATTCTCTCTCTCTCTTTCCTGCTCTGTCTCCCTTTGGCTTTCAGACTCCGCCCCTTCTTTTTCTTCTTCTTTTCTCCCCCATCCCCTCTGTCCTCCTAGCTGTTCTGGTCCAGGTGTAGGAATCTGCCACTAACCCTGGCCACCTTGGATGCAGCTTCAAGGAAAAGTCTGTTTTTTCACTTACCAAGAAATTTCAAGGACATTGGAAGCTCCAAGTGTTTCTGGCTTGTTTTTAGACGAATGGGAGAAACATAACCTACTCCTTCCCCCCAGGTCAGCCAGAGCTGCACTGTCAGGGTGGTGTGTGGGATAAAATCTCAGAACTTTCCCTGAAGTTGTCCTTCCTTCTGCCCCATGAACTCAACTGGCAGGTCCCTCCCCAGAGCTGATTATTACAGTTCAGCAAACTGAACAAAGCTTCCTTCCAGCCCCTTTCTTGAATGCACTCCATGTTGCAGTTTCCATTTCTGTTGCAAATTAAGCCTCCGATCCAGCTTGTACCCGTGGTGGAGCACGAAAACAGCATGTCACCCTTCACCAAAGAATAGCATACTTGAAGTCCTTATTCAGCGCCTCTTACCCTATTCTGCTCTAAACGAAAGAGTGCCAGATTCTTTAACCTGTCATCAATAAGCCCTATTTATTATCGGGATTTACATAGTGTCTTTTACCCCCAGGAACTAAAAATGCTTTCAGATATAATTGAGCCTGATCTCCCTGGTGCCTGAGCCATTAAGAAACCATTAGTGTATTCCTGTGGCAGGCAACTTAATGGCCCCCTAGTGGCCTGAAAGTGGATATGCTCCTCTAAGTGTAGCTCCCCCACCAGAATCAAGGCAGGATGGGGACAGAATGGGCCCCCAAGGTCACCCAGTGTGTTTCCTAGAGCCTCCTCCAGTACATTCCCAGGGAACGGGGGCAGCTCAGCAAAAAGGCCCTCCGCGGTGGTGTGCCTTACTGTCTGCTCCCCCAGCCAGCTTGTTGAGGATTTTCAACATTCTGAAAGATTGCAATAGCAACAGTAACCACGCCGCTGACATAGGCAAGGCCTCACACCAAGTACTTCAACACCTTTTAACTACTTTCCAGGTAGTCACTCCGTCTTCATTTTGTATGAGAAGAGATTATCGCAAAGGGGTTGAGAAACTTGCCTGAGGTCACATAGCTAGACTGGATTCCCTCCAAGTCTAGGGCATTGGTCCTTGATCCCTGCTCTGCTCTGAACTTGGTCTCTGCAGCGAAGGCAATGGAGAAGGCGGGTGCTGCCAGAGCACTGCCTCCTGACGCCTCATGGCTGGGGCCCTGTGAACTGGGTCTCGGTGCCAAAGAGCTGCCCCTGCCTCCAGGGCCCACAGGACTAATAGAGCCAAATGGCAACAAGTGCTGCTCAGAGATGTGCAGGAGCTTCTGGAAGAAGGAGAAAGGCTACTCTGAGGATGTGCTGTGAAAGCAGCCGGGAGAGGTCAAGGTGGGAAGCCGGCCCAGCATACTACTGAGTCAGACAGACTTGGCTGCCGTAGAGCACCTGCCTGTAAAACGCGATCTGGTGCCCTCACCAGGATCCTGGCATGCAGGAGGAGACAGGCCAAAGCCCGCCAGGACTACCACAGGTGAAGGTGCGAGAGGAGGGCTAACTGTAAGCACATTCCTCATATGAATACTCCACTCACTTCTGTTCAACAGGAAGGCCTCAGAGGGTGCCTGGGTACCATAGCAATGGCACCAGCAGCACCAATGCTCAGCCTGAGCTGTCCCCTGAAGGCCAGCATGGGACCATCCATCCCAGAGATGCCTCCCTAATAGCAGCAGGGATGACAAGACTGCAAAATCCTAAGAGTTGGGCCCAGCGCCATAGCATAGTGGTTAAAGTCCTCGCCTTCCCATCCAGCTCCCTGCTTGTGGCCTGGGAATGCAGTCGAGGAAGGCTCAAAACCTTGAGACCCTGCACCCATGTGGGAGACCGGGAAGAGCCCCTGGCTTCTGATTGGCTCAGCTCCAGCCGTGTGGCCACTTGGGGAGTGAACCATCATATGGAAGATCTTCCTCTCTGTCTCTCCTCCTCTCTGTATATCCGCCTTTCCAATAAAAATAAATAAATCTTTTAAAAAACCCCTAAGAGTCAGCTGTTGGCACACACACTGTGCGGAGCAGCATGCTCCAGGGACGGTGGTGGCCTACCCAATAGAGTCATGGAGATGTTAGTAGCATGGCATTCTTGGGGTGAGCTATACAGGTGGCCAGAGGCCACTCAACACTGCTCCGCGTAACACCAGGAGCTCTCAAACTTTACGGTTTCAGGTCACTTTGTATAGAGCCAGTAATGTAACATAGCAGTTAAGGCCACTGCCTGCAATGAAGGCATCCCATGTTGGTGCCGGTTCAAGATCTGGCTACACCACTTCCCATCTAGCTCACTGCTAACGCTCTTGGGAAGGCACTGGAAAATGGCCCAGGTTTCTGGGATGCTGTGGTCATGTGAGAGACTTAGAAGAAGCACTTGGCTCCTGGCTTCAGCATGGTTCAGCCCTGGTTGTTGTCATTTGGGGAGTGAAGATCTTTCCCCACTGCCTGCCTGTCTCTTCCCCTCACTCTGTAACTATGCCTTTTAAATAAATAAAAGTTCAAAAAGAATTTAAAAGATATATATAAATGTATATATATGTATGTATATGTATATACTATATATGTATGCATACATACATGTATGTATGTATTTAAAGTGAGACATTGAAAAAGGTGGAGAGAAGAACAAGTTCCATCCCTCCATCCACCGACTCATTCACCCATTCACCCACCCATCTACCCACCCATTCACCCATCCATCCACCCATTCACCCATCTACCCACCCATTCACCCATCCACCCACCCATTTACCCATCTACCCACCCATCCAATGATTTCCTTCCTAAATGCCTGCAATAGCCAGGACTGGGAGCTGGGAATGCAGTCTAGACACCCACAGTTACTGGAGCCATCATTGCTGTCTCCCAGAGTCTAGTTTAGCAGGAAATTAAAGTTGGGAGTCAAGAGAGGTGACTCTAGGTATACTGGGTGGGATTCCAGCTCCTTAACCTTAACCATTGGGCTAGATATCTGCCCCACAGAGCTTCTGTTTATGTGGTTTGCATCTGTTGATGTCTGTTGTGTTAGAAATAGGACCAAGAAGTATATGAAATATATTTGTTTATTAAAAAAATATATAAGGCCATTACAAGTTGGCATGGATCGTATGAAAAAGATAGCTGTGTTTCCTATAAAAAAACTAATGAAGAGAGTGGCTGTGTTTCACATTTTAGCAAACCTCTGGGAGGCAACCGCA